ACAACAATGTTGATTTTAATTAAACTTGCCAGGCTTGGGCTGGACACTTCGACCTTGCATGATTGCAGAGCTGAGCAGAGCGGAAGACAAAGCAGCCCCTTTAATCCCTTACAAGTCACCGGCTTTGGGTGCAGCAGGTCACCGCTATTTGTTTTACTTGGAGAATCTGAAGTCTTTTTTTTTTTTTTTTTTTCTTTTTGTTTCATTTTTTAAGTTGCAGAATAAGGAGTTAGGAGATGCTGCTGGGGCCTGTGAAATGGTCCCCATGGCACGTAGCAGGGACTGCTCCTGGTGCACATCGGAGCCCCCGGGCTGGGGAATTCTCTGGACTTAAACAGGCAGGGAGGGAATGATCATGGATGTAGAGGAAATGGAAGGGGCCAGTGGTTGCTTCCACTTTGTTTGGGTGAGAAGATCAGCAGTTAATTATCTTTATGTGTGAGCAAATTAATGTCTAAACTGGAAATGTGTCTACCTGTTGCTTTAAAGAAGCCAGCTTCCTAGCAGTGTAAATCCAGTCGTATGTAATTGGGAATTACGGACACGTATCTGTGTGCCCAGGAAGTAACAAGTATGAGGAGACACATTTTAAAAAATTAACTCACAGAGGAAAAGGGGAAGTGGATAGAAATGACCATAAATTATAAATGAGGCTTTGCAAAAATTACAAAGAGAGAAAAAGGACATTGGCACCCAGCAGCGTCTGGAATAACAGACGGAGTTTGTCTCTGCAGCGAACAACGGGGATCTTGACAATAGTGTTTGCTCGTTGTGTGGGTAGGAGAGGCAAAAAAAGGAAGGCGTTTTCTGAAAATACTTCTGTCCTCTATTTTAGAAAAGCAGAGGATGTTGTTATATCACAGAATGAGGGAGAAATTGGTTCCGTTCCAGTAGGAATTGGAAAGTTTGTTAAACAACGATTATGAAATCCAGGATGTTGCTTTTTTGAATCAGTAAGTCCAGTCATTTGCAAACCAGTGCTCGGAAGGAGCTGGCCACGCACCCAGCATCATCACCGCTGGCCTTGGTCAGGCCTTGGGAAGAGCAGGGAGCTCCTGGAGGTGATGGGGGGCAGAGCCCCTCCGGAGGGGGCTGCACGGCGTGGTCTCAGGCAGACAGAGTGACTGGCCTTCTGCATGAGGTGTGGGCAACTGGGTCTAGCCAAAATAACTTTCTGTCTTTTGATGAGATTACAAGTAGGGCACATATAGATAATAAAGTTGATGTAATCATATGACTGCATGTTTTGTGGCAATTTAATTAAGAAACTGCCAGCATACAAAAAGGATCGACACAGTACACACTAAAAGGATTAAAATCCAACCAACGGTCTTCTGGAAAAGAATTTATTGCAAGCTAAGTGAAGCCACAGCCATTAGCATTGCCATTACAGTTCCTTTTCCCATTTCCTGCTCGTCTCTGCCTGCTCCTGACGCACTGCGTGTCCCCGGCAAAAGGGGGTCTGGTGGCTTTGGCTCAAGACCAGGGCATGGAGGAGCGGGGAGCAAGAAAGGAAAGGCAGGCTGACTGAAAACATGATGCTGCGAGCGGAAGAGTGAAAAGCAGATGATAAACAGAACTGTGGAGAATAGAGAAATCGGATCAGAAGCAATCACAGCGTGAGGAAAGGAGCAGAGCAGTTGGTTTGAAGCTGGTGAGGTGGCTGGGGTAAGGGAAGAAATCCCTTGCAAGATGGTGAAATATTTCAGACTGTCAGGTCAGCTTAAATCAGCAGTGCAAAGTGGGAACAGACCCTTGGGCTGCCGCAGGCTGCTGGGCTGGGGCTGCTGGCAGCCTCCTGCACCCTCTGCCAGAAGGAGGAAGGAGGCATCGCTGCGGGTGCTGCCCAGCCCAGTGAACCCCCAGCTAATGCCTCTTCAAGAGACTCCTGGCCCTGTAGAGGGAGAGGTGCCTCAGTCCTTCCCAAGGACATTGCTGTTGCTGGTAAATGTACAAAAAAAAGCTGCTAAATTACTGCAGCAGTGAGCAAATCCTCCATAAGCCAGCGCTTTCACTTCTCATCCCTTGCTGTCCTAGCTCCAGAGGCAGAAATCATCTGCTCTGTCCGAAAACAGCCTCGCCTGCAGCTCACAGGGTCCTGCCAGCTGCTGTCCTTCCCACAGAGCCCTGATTGTCTGCTCTCGCCTCCCTGCTGCACGCTCTGGACAGAACTGTGCTGCAAAACTTGATTTATGCAAAATCAAATCGCATTTCATAGCGCAACTCAGCTCCTCTTTGTTCTTTTCTGTGCTAGGGTTGCATTGCTGGGATGCTGCTGCCTCAGCCATAGTCCTTGGTATTAGAATAGGTTTGATATAGATAGAAATGATCTGTTTACTTTTATTGATGAGCCTTCTAACAATAGCATGAGCTTACAATGCAGAAGCCTGCAGTTGCTATGTGAAAACTGCCTTTCTGAGCTCCCCCCCCACATCACACAGAGAGGGTTGTTTTTAAAGCATGTATGTAGTATTAAGCTAGACTTCTTCCCTGCTATAGGAGTTGTTTCCAGACACTAGAGACAGAATTCAAGTGAAAGTGCCTTTGGCATAACACTTTGTAAAGCTACAAAGGAAATATTCACAGGCACAGAAACACTGTCTTAGTGCACCCTAGGATAAGTTGTGGCGGCTATTGATGAGCAGGCAGATACCTTCAAAGGCGGTGTTCTTGTTCCAGACCACAGATTTACAGCTGTGACAAAAGTTTGTCTTTTTTAAGGCTCATGGGTGCTGTGAGGGGGATCAAAACAGGAGCTGCGTGAGCCCTGATCCCATTTATGCTGGTTTGGTGGTTCCTGTGTGCGGCTGTTCCTCTGCCCCCTGTTCCTCACGTACTTCCACTTGGATGGCAAGTGAGCAGTGCCCAGCCCAGCCCACGCCACAAGCTGTCCTGCCAGAAGTGGCCATGGAGCATCGCGGAGCATCGCTGCCGCTGCCAGCACTCACCTTCTCCGTGCATCACTGCTGCAGTGGGTTTTGGTGGCTTTGTGGAGAGAATATAACCAGCAGGGCTCTTTGCAAGCAGCACACCAAGAACAATCATTTCACTCTTGCTGTGGTGTTAGGATGATAAATACACATGTAAACGTAGGAAAGACCAGAGATAAAATGGTTTGACAAATAGGCTGTGCTACCTCTGCTTCCTTCGAGGGAATGAGGTACTCACGACTTACTTGCAAAAGCTGGGGATGATTTTAAGCTCTGCTTTTATGTCCGTAGGATAATAAGGCCGCACAGGGACCGTGTAGTTCAACATTATGCCAAACATAAGTTATTCCTTTTCCTTAGCATTCATAAGTCCAAACAAATGTGTAAATAAAGTAAGAGGTGTTTTACAAAAGGCTGAAGCTTTGTTGCCTTTTACTGCTGCCATTCAGACATCATGTATTGCACAGGTGAGTGCCACAGAAAAGAACAATAGGAATGATTAGTGTTAAAATCTTTTCATATTTAAAAGACTTAAAAACAAAAACACCCAAACCAAAAGACGGAAAAACTTTGTAACCTATAAATTCCACAGGCTGTAGCTGCATACAAGGAGACATCGAGAAATGCAGGATTAGCCCAAACCTGACAAGAAAACATTGAGGCAGGATCAGCACCAGATAGTGAGGCTGATGTTCCACAACTGTTGTTTGCCTTTCAAACATTTATGTTGTCGTTTCTTAATTATGCCATCGCTATCTGGACTGCTAATCACTGGTAGCTGAAGCTTTTGGGGTTTCCTGTGCTAAGCTCTGATAGCAGCAAGTTCAAAGAGAGCTTGAGTTCTGTCAGGGAAAATTGCATTTTCTAAATGGATACAGAAAGTGAAATTAGGGAAAGATATTTGCCATTATTTATCTTGACTGATTTGCTCCATTAAAAAAAAATATTGCGTAGTCACATTTATGCATACAAATTTAGCTCTGTGCAAATTTAGCTCCACGTTCACGCCACAGGAAAAAGAATGTTCCAGTACATGCTAATGATAATTTAATATTTTAAAATTGCAAATCTGTGATCTGAAATTGTAATATTATGGTGCCATTGTTCCGTGAGGCAATCAAAAATGGAGATTCTGAGAAAACATTTGCATAATAATAGCTGCCGTGCATGTCTGGGCTCTGGATGCACCTATTTAGTAGTTACAGGCTATTTTCCCCTTCCATCTACTGGAAGGCGAGAGCTCCGATTGCGAGGTAGTGTTTTTGAAGGTGCGTGTCTGTGCTCCTGCTGCAGCAGCTTTTACATCTTGCTTTGCAGGCTGGCAGCTCTGGGGATGGCTCTGCCTCTTGGTGTGACCAGGGCAGTGCTCCTGCCGGCACGCTCTGGCTGCGCCCAATGCGGTGCTGGTGCTGGAGGGCGATGCGGAGCCAGCCCCAGCTGCTTCTAAGGAAAGCAGGAGATTTCATATAATGCACAATTATCTGATAATTTACCCATGGGAGAAATTTCTTTCAAACCTTTGGCAGGTATCAGTTGGCTTATTTCCTAGAGAGTGAGGTTTTATTCCCTTTATGTATTTTATTCTTCTGGAAGTGTAGGAACTGTGGGTTTCTGTCTGTGTGTATGCACCTAATCCCTTATGATGCCATCCTGTCTCTCCTGAAGCTTAATAACCCTGATCTTTTCAGTCTCTCCTGGTGTGGAAATGGTCCGATAACAAACACTGCTCTTCTCTTACCTCTTCATTTCCTCTGTGCCTTTGGGGAGCTGTAGGCAGCAGGACTTCGCACGGCGTGGGGTGAAGGCGGACCATTTCTCCTGCTAATAGCAGGTGCCCTAACCTCCCTACAGCTCAGTTCGGCTCAGGGGAGAGCTCTGTGAAAGCTCCTGGAAACCCACACAAGATGCAGGTGTTTCTCACCTGTGTCTTTTCCCCCTTTTCTCCTCCCACCTTGTATACACGTCTCAGAGGGATGTGAAGTCTTACTGCAGTTTGGTTTTGTGTGCAGTGCAGTAGAGCATCTTGCTTTTTTTGTAACTTCATTTCTTGCTTTTTCTTTCTTTTTCCAGAGTCGGAAACATGCCAGCAAAGTTCGCCTCTATTATATGCTTCATCCCATAGATGGAGGCTGTCCAGCTAAAAAGCTCCGATCAGAAAATGTGGGTATAATTTGAGTCCCTGTTTACTCAACTGCTTTGTGAATCATTGACTCTGTGCATTTTTTTTCTGTAACAGCTACAGATAATCAAGTACCCAGAGGTAACATTTAGATTAGCTGAAATGCTAAGTAACTGGAAATAATTTTCAATAAACTGTACAAGAAATATTATGCATGTCAGCAACAGTAATTGCATTTTTAGTTATTTGAATGCTCTTTCGCTGCAGATATCCAGCATTTATTTAGTTTAACGAAGACCAAACTACCTGTAATGGCCTGGTTTTTGCTGGTGAGCGACTGCAAAAGTCAGAAAGGGTAAATTGCTGCAGGGAGGCTTATGGCTGAGTGTTTGGGAGGGTGGAGGCTGCTCCTCGGTGGCTCTGGCCGAGGCTTTAGAGCTGCTGTGCTTGAAGCCAGCAGCTTTTCGTATGCAACTGCAAAACTTACTGTTTGGCCAGCACTTTGGGTGCCGTGCAGCGTGTTCTAGGCCTTAAGGTGAGGACTGTGCCTTGGACCCTGTGCCCCCCGCTCGGACTCAGCTCCTGGTGTCCCTGCTGTCCCTGTGCAATGATGCAGCTGGAAACCACAGCATGACCAGAAAGGTCACCTGAGACTAAAGTGACCTCCACAGGTCTCCTCTGACCTGATTTTTTCTATGGGTCAATGGAAGCGGAATGCTGCGGCTGAAAGACTCCTTGTGGAGGCTTTGCAATCTGTCTGCAGTTCAAAAAAAATGCGATTGGTTCTTCAGCTGCATTCAGATAAACAAACAGGCGTGAGGCAATCAGAGCAGCTCACAGCCATTTGTCGGGCAATAAAGGCAGACTACATTTATGAGTGAACGATTCTCAGTGAATTATTCAGTCAGCTCTTTCCCGTGTTCCAGGCCTGTGTGAGAGCTGCCGATGAGATTCCAGCAGATAGTATCCAAGCCATTTCAGATCTATGCGACTGTGACTGTGGCTTAATGCTATCAATATTTAGCGAGATATCTTCTAATTAAAGGAGGAAGCCTGCGAGTGTTGCCAAAGGGATCTGAAAGCTCCTTCACACAGTAATTAAAATTTTAGTAGAACTTTTATGTTGCACACAGGGTAATTGCAGATGCAATCTACCCCATAACAACAGAATCTCACACTATTTTTATCGAATTATTAATTACAGGATGTTAAAGATAGAGTGGACATGCACATATAGACTTGAAACATAATTCTTTTATGAGCTCCATTACATCAAACAAGAAACCCCAGGCCTGCACGTGCACCTTAGCACATGGATATGGTGGACAGAGAGAACCAAACAGACCTTAAATCAAAGCTGAATGAATTCCCATTTATTTTATGAAAGGGCACAGTGAGGACTAAGGTAATTCTATGTTTCCTTGTGTTTGATTGTGCCAAGGGCAGCCCTTAATGGGGCATGAATTGAATAAGTTCTTATGAAACAGGTGAATGATATGCTACGCAAGACCTACATTCTGAAATTATTTATATTATAAAAATGTAGCAGGGAAAATCTGCCAACATTTACAGCGCAGTATTTGCAAAGTAGCCCTATTGCTGATCAGCTATTATCCAAGCTTTCAGCGTTTAAATAGAACAGAAATATTTAGGACATCTCTGAGGCAGCATGATAACATCATTACTGTGTACAGAATGCAGCTGTATTGCCAAATTCAGATATCTAGCAACATTAGTCAAGCCATGACATACTGACTTAAATGAATATTAGAAATAATCCTTGCAAACCAATTAAATTTCCGCAACTAAAAAGGGAGTATTATCCTTCTTTCATCAAAAACTGCACTGTTACATGACTGTATGCAATTTCTTTAGTATCCTTTTGGCCACAAAACAAAAATACTTTGTCTTTCTCCACATGACAATAGGAAAGAAAAGTTTCTGCAGTTGTAGATGAAATAGTTTGAGAGACAGCATTTTCTACCTGGCCTCTCAGTGGTGTGAAGGGTTGTATATGCTATTATTTGATTTAACATTTCATTTTAAATTTCCATTTAGTGTTTCAGCTGAAAGCAATCTGAGGAAGTCACAGCTTGTGTCAAGGCCACTCTGAAATTAGGAGTCATATCCTCAAGTCTCAGAATTAGTTTTAGTCAGGGTGTTCTCACTTGAAGAAAAAAACAGCAAAGTAGGGCTCCACTTATAATCAGGGCAAACATGATGAAAATTTTTGATCTGCTAGGAAATGAACTCTTTGGGCTGGGAGAAAAGCCTTCCAATTCTTTCTCGCCCTATTTGTACTGTAAGATGGTGGAGTTGCTTTAACTATCATCTTCCTTCTGGCACACGTGCTTGTGTTGTGAAAAGCATCCCTCACTTCATCTAGGGTTGGCTTTTTTCAGTGAATGTATAGGTCTTAAGATGCTCCTTAAAGCCTGTTTTGGATTTAGATTGCCATGAATTGGTACTTGCTGTTTGCTTGTACCACAAGAAGAGCAGGCTCCAAAAGAGCAGGCAAGTGGTCTAAACCTCACACAGAGCATTGTGGAAATAGCACTTTAACAGCAGCACCTTCTTCATGCACAGAAAATTAACTCAAATTTAAAAGACACTTTGCAGTGGCTGGAGTGGTATGTTTTATATTGCTGTATTTCAAGGGTTTGTATAATCTTTTCTTCTTAATAAAAACTAGGAAATGAAGACAGCAGATTTACATCTACGGATTAAAAATCCACATTTTTTCTTGAGGATTTCTTAAGCAACATCCAGTAAAGGACTGCAACTGCCTGGCCCTGCATGAGGATTATGCCTTTTAGTGGCTTGTTAACAGGCATCTGAATAACTGAAGTTAATTCTGGTGGATGTACAAGATTTGCTTTGAAATTTATAACATTACAAAGAGAAGCCCTATGAATTAGGCTGGCCTGCGCTGCTGCAGAGCGGGGGGAAAGAGGAGCAATGTCAGCGCTGGGAAACAGATACTTGATCTCCGAGGCTGTGCATGTTGTGCTGTGCTTCAGCTGATGCAAGGTCATTAGCCCTGTCACCGGTACATCTTTGCAAAGGTTAGAGAGAGGGATTGCCTGGAGAAAATCGCAAAAACAAACAGTAGAAAAAAATCCTTGCACGTTGGCTCAGCTTGTGTAACACAGGGCTAGAGTTGCTGGTCTGGGTTTTATGGAAGCTAAATTGAGATGTTTTCAGCTTTAGGTTGAGCAGGGCAAGGTGAGCAGTGGGAATGAGCCCAAGGGTGCTGTGGGGGGCTCCTGCCCTGGTTCGGGCTGGCTGGGCTGCTGGCAGCGCTGGTCCCTGTGCGACCTGGCCAACAAGCGACGTTGTTTTACTGGTTGGCTGCACAATCCTATCAACGCGGTGTCGTTCAACAGGTGACAAAAGACACCGGGGTCAGGTTCCCCCCAGCCCATCTGCTTACAGGTAAAACAGCCGCTGACATAGCACCAAGGCATAATTACCCTTCAGGGCTGGGTCCAGCCTCTGGGCAGGGTAGCGCAGAGGCCAAGGAAGGTGATACTGCGACAAATGCTGCAAGTGTGGGTACCTAAGGTCTCTCCAAACATCTTGATACTGCTAATGAAGAACAGCATTCAGGGTGTGAAAGACGGCTGGCTGTTAGAGCAAGGGTCTGTTTGTGGTTTAGGCAGAGCCTGGCTCTCGGACTGATTGGGAAATGAGGGCCACTGCTCGTCAGGTGAATGCCAGGCTGGTGGTGAAATCCCCACCCAGGCTTTGAGATGCTCACCCAGAAACATCAGTGAGCTTAGATAAGATGGGTAGTGATCTAGGATAAATGTGTAGTGCTTCGGTTTAATTGTGAACTTGGGGGGTCTGAGGGTCATTTCACCGTTTTTTTCTTTTTTTAGATGCAGTCTAGCTATGAAAGTAGGTTGGGAAGAAAAAAACATCACTGAAGAGCAGAGCAAGCAGAGGAAGGGACCCTAGTGCGTAAACACTGAAGTGTATCAGGTTTTCAAACGAGCTCTGTTGGAGTCTCTTTATATGTTACCACCGCTGATGATCAATAGAGTCTGGGAATTTTTTCTCGGCTCTTAACTTTCAAGTGATTTCTCTTTGAAGACATAAAATATGTTGAGAGAATCCTATTTAAAAGAAGTGCAAATTACACCCAGAACAGTACTTATCGCCTCTTGAGATTTCTCCCTAAGGTTTAAGTTGATTTATAGTTAATAACAACAACAAAAAAGCAATGAAAATCAGTCCTCCTTCTAATTGTTCTTATTTCATGGGAGAAGACGACCTTAAACAGTGGGTTGGGTGCCCCTGCACAATCAGTTCACTGTTCCAGTGCCTGTATCCTGCTCCCCAGCTGCTGGGGGGCTCAGGGGCCCCTCCGGTGCGTGACTCGGGGTCACTGCATGCGGTGCTGCTTTGCGTGAGGTTTGTGCGGGGCAGGAGCTTGTGTGCCTGGCGCTCTGGGGCACTGTCCATGTGAGCTGAGGACATGTCTGGAGGAGTCGGCTGGACACCGGTGGGGATGTGCTGGTGGTGGCAGCGCTACTGGGGCTCCGGCGGTGCTGCGTGTGACCTGGGGAGAAGTCTGGGCTGGAACTGTCTCACACGTGCATGGGGGAGTTAAAAAGCTGGGACCTTCATTCTCTGTCCAAACAGAAGGATGAAATTTGACAAAGGGGAATTGGATTTTTGAGTGTGATTTTGCTGTGTGGCCAGCACTGGGCTAAACAGGGTGCCCCAGTAAACGCCTGAGCCGTCTTCTATCTTTGCACATGGATGAATTGCAAAACTCATTCGCAACTCGTGAAGACTGCAGCCTCTAAAGCAGACTGTTTTCTGTTTTGACAATATACCAGCAGTTGGAAGAATATTTGTTTAAATAAAAAAAAATAAAAAAAAAGAATAACAGAGTACATGACTGCCTCCAGATGGCTTGTCCCTGGAGGCAGTCTTGCCATGGCATGGGGCCTCTTGCCCGGAGAATGAACCAGGATGCTAACTGCATGCATACAGCAGGTCATTTCCCAGCTTTGGAAAGATCTTGCTCTTCACAGAGCAGTATTTTCAAAAGTGATCGTTTAGAAATTGTGCTAGGCAACCTACCTGCCATACTGCGATCTTCTGAAAAGAGAGGCCGTGCATATATGGTCCTAAATGCAATCCTTATTTCCCTTATGGATGGATTGAATAATTAATTGTGACTAATGGTGCAAATGTGCCTCTTTCCCCTACTTAATAGCTGTTTGTACGGTTACCCTTGTATCTGTGGATACTGTTTGTTCGCAAACATTTGCTGGCAGCAGAGTTAATGATATTTTGCTGACAGCCTTCAGCTGCAACTGCTTCTTCTCACAGGGTGTGCTAAGAGCGATAGGTCTCAGCTCAGCTACACTGGCTGGCCAGAGGCATGCTGGCTCTTTTTCTTTCAAGAATAACATTAGTGAGTGACGGAGACAATATTCTCATTAAATCGGGGCTTATTTGTAAAAATAAAAATGCAGTTACTGGTGACTGTGAAGGACGAGCCCTACCTACATCACTGTGGCTGAGAGAACCTCTTGCTGGGACTGAAATACAGTCACGCTCTTGAAGTTTTAAAACTTCTGCTCATCTGTTAGCTGACATCCAGGAGCTTGCAAAGGGACACAGCCTTCTCGCTGAGATGCTTCATTGTGCGGATACCCACGGAGTCTGGGGGAGAAATGGAGCAGGAGACCCTTGGAAATCACATCCTCGACATAACCTGGAGTCCTCTCCTGCTTCCGCGTGGCTGCCTGGTGGGCTGATGCACCTGTTTTTTGTGTTTTTTTGTCTCCATCCAGGGCAGTGATGGTGACACAGTGGATAAGAACAAATGCTGCACACTATGTAACATGTCCTTTACCTCAGCAGTGGTGGCTGAATCGCATTACCAAGGGAAAATCCATGCCAAAAGGTTAAAACTGTTGCTAGGTGAGCCGCCGGCACTGAAGGCCGCAGGTAGGTGTGAGGCGGTGGGGCTGGAGCGGGCTGGGGCAGCGCACGGGCACCTTGCTTGTGCCCCTCTTGTAACAACCTTTAAGCATTGCTGATGCTCGTTATTGTCTGCTTTGTTCACATAGATTAGTGGCTTATCAGCCAGCGCTGGCCTTTCTGTGAGAGCTCTGTGTCTGGCTCCATGTTTCTGAAATGTTTTGCTCTGTGGAAGACAGTATCTCCGCTGGGCACAAATAGCCGAGCCTCGCTTTAATTATCAGAAGTTATTTGACAGCTCAGCTAATACACTTAATAAACCTTTCCTGTTACTGTACAGAGCAGAATCCTATTTGCTTTTACCTCAGAGGGAAACGTAGTCTTTAAAAATGTTTTGGATCAATTGTCTTTTGATTTTTGCCCAGACAGGTATTCACGCTTTCCTCCACAGTGATTCCAATAATGTGAGCCTATTAACTTTCACTTTTATAACGTCAAATGTTTGAATCAGATAATTTAACCATCTTATTGTTTGCTTGACCATAAAGTCCCTGCAAAACACTAATATACTGTAAAACAAAACTTCCTCTGGGGCTGTCAGGGCAGAGGACACTTGAACAATGTGTTCCTCATGCTAAACAGGCAGCACCATTGTGCTGTAGCCCTGCAGACAGAAGTCTGTATTTCACTGTTAGTATCAGTGGTGCTTCTTTTAGAACAATATAAATTTTGCTGGGCACTTTATATCCTGCCTAACAAGATGTGCATAAATCTTAGAAGTGACTAAATAAGTTTTTTTTGTCTGCCTATGTGTTTTTGTTGTTGTTTTTAACTTTACAGACTGATGATGCTGATGCATATCATTTGTCCTCTATCAGTATTGGCTTGGGAAATGCTATTGCCTTTCCCTGAGGGTATACAGGGACTTGCATTAGATTATGGCTTGCTTGTTTTAGCTAAGGAGGATGTTCTCAGAAGGCTCATTAAGTGAAGGTGTGGCAGCATCCCTGCTGAGGTTGCTGAGATGCACCTGAAAACTTCGCTAGTCCTTTGGGCACGTGGCTGTGGAACCCATGGGAGCCAGCACAGTGGGATAGGCACCTCTGTAAATGAAGTCAGAGATGTGCATGGACAGGCAGTGAGCAGATAAGACAAATTGTACGGTCTGCTGTGCTACAGACCTCTGAAGCAGCACGGGGCTGGCTTAACGGAGGGTCTCTGTGTCCTGGCAGTGACCAGCTGTGCTATGCTGCTGGTACAGGGGCTGCAGGGCTGTGTCAAGGCATGACTTTCAAAGAGTTGCAGCTTTGCATTATGTTTTTATCTAATTTTTTAATCATCTGGATCAGCCTCACAGAGGCAATAAGTGATCTGCGCCACATGCTCTGTGAGTAATGGGCTCTTCAGCTGCAGTAATCACTAGGAAAGAATAACTTCAGGACTCATCAAGTCCCCCAGATACTTGATCTGATGAAGCTGAGCCGCAGGAATATGTTAATAAGCACCTTCTTGCTCTCCAGCAGTTCTCAGAAATGTGCTGTTTGGACATAGCATTTCTCTGGGCTTCCTATAGCATTCCTCAGCATTCCTGCACTGGAATGCCATCCTGCTCCCTCCTGGCTGGCGCAGCTGGGGAGGCTGCAGTCTTAGACAGCTCCAGAGGCTGTGCAGGAGCTGAGGGCTGGCTGTGCTGAATTCAGTACAGACTCAGTACTGAGGGATACCAGCACTTTTCCTCCCCAGTGCCATGGGAGGCCCCTCCAGAGGTTCTTCTACATCATCATTAAAGCCGTGATTGCCAGACGGCCTGGGAACATTTGGCAGCAGCTCTGACACTATTATTTCTTAACTTGCGTTTGCTATCAAACAAAAGCGAGAAAGACTCTACACAAATATTTGAACACTCATAATTTTGTCATTCATTCAAAAAATGAACTCCAACTTCATTCGGTGATGCTTTCAGAAGAGGGAGGGGTGCCTTAGCGGTAAGGTTTTTCACAATAGGAAAGTGATCTCTCATCGCTACAGCAAAATATTGGTGATGATTTTCTGTTGCTTCTGCTGTACAAGGTTGTAGCCCTCAGAGGGTTTATGTCACCACTATTTCTGATGAATTTCTCCAATCATTTCCAACATCTTCCATCAGATTGCATCCAGTCACCAGGTTGAGTTATAAAGAACTGCAGGGGAAAAATACCTGCTACCTTCATTTGTCCAGGTGTGGGTGCCTGCAGTGCCCCTTTGTTGTGGCTCAGTTGCTTTCTCCTTCTCGTGCTCCATTCCTGGAGAGTGGCAAGGATGACAAGTTGGGTGCCATTTAAGCACAGCTATGAATAAAAAGCTTTGCATGCAAGAAATAAGTCAAACATTAGTTCATTGCCAGAGTGCTAAATTGTTTCTAACTTTGTGTTTTGCTTCATGCAGCAAAGTAAGACTTTCTCACTTCCCTCCCACAGCAAACAGGAATGTAAGGCAGACTGTCGTGAGCTGTTTAGCATTTTGAAGTACTTGAAATAGTCAAACTTGCAGCTTTTATGTTTGTGTTAGGACAGAGCAACGTTTTTAACATTTGACGTCTTGTGAGTGTTTATTATTAATTTTCATGTTGCTGCTCAGGGAATGATGATGTTTCCTGTTCTGTAGTAGCTATGTGCTGAATAACAAAACGATAAATCCACGTTTGTGGGGAAGTCAACTTTCATCTGTTTCTCTTCAGGAGGGTTTGGAAGACACGCGATGTTTTCATTAGTTGTCAGACTGGGTTCAGCACGCCTTAGGACTGCCTGTAGTTGTAAACTGCCCCTGAGGAACATGGCTTTACGAGAAAATGCTTTGTGTTGTGAGAGCTGAGAGGAAATCCCTGCCGTGCCAGAGCACGCGGGTGAGGCAGGCACTGGGTCCATGCGAGCCTCGGGGGGTACCAGCACAATCCCCGCAGCAGCAGCGTGTCCTGCGGACACCCTCCCTCCTTCTCTGCTATCGGGTGAGCACCAACAGCATCAGGACAGGCCTGGATGCATGGCCACGGTACCGGCTGTCCAGCTGGCGGCCGAGCAGCATGGCATACTGCTGTCATATTTCCTTAGCGAGTGGGAGACGTAACTCCTGCGGACACCACCAGCTCTGCAGAGCGAAGAGCTTCCCCTCTGGTCCCCGTGGTTCCCCTCTGGCGGCAGCTAACGTAAAGAGGGATAAAGCTGAGTAAAGGATCCCTTAGATTTGGCTTTGTAGCCTGGGGCGCCTGGCAAGTGGCATGTTGAATACATCACAGAGCTCCTGGGCTGCCGCAGTAGCTATCTGTTTGGGCAGTGCCAGAAGCCTGCACATCTCTGGTTGTGGCCTCTCCTGTGGCCAAGGACAGAGGCAGGAGCAGGACAAAGGCTCCTGGTGAGGTGCAGACTGTTGCTGGAGCAGGAGCAGGCTGTGCATCGCAGCCCTGTGTGAAATAAATCCACACACAACGAGGAGGCAGTTGGCCAGACAGCAGAATGAGTAGAATAAACATCTTCAGCAGGAGTCAATTAGGCGGTCACTTTATTAACTAATGCCCAAAAGAGCTCGTTTTGCTAGCGCTGTGCAGAGCGTGGGTCACATCAGCAGAAGTGAGAAAATTCTTCTTCAGGTGTTTCTCCAAAGGAGACGTGGACAGGGAGGATGACAGTGCCTCACAACCAGCAATAATCCGGGCAGAGAACACCTGATACCTTGGCAGGTGTCATCAAAACAATAGAGGCTTATAAAGCCCTGGAAATGGATAAGGTTGTAAGTAACATGATAAGTAAGATATGATTTCCTTGAGGAAGGTTAATAGACGTGCAATCCCGAGTAGGTCAACAGAAGACCTTCAGCAACGTGAACTCTCTGGAGCTGTGGAGACAAGTGCAGTGGGCTCAGGTCATAATTATGTGTCTAAATAGGGTTTGTTGTGCTCCCTGTTGCTGTTCCTGGCACCAGGCACTGAGGTGGTTCCGTTGCCTGCCATCCTGTGCTCTGCTGGGGCTCAGCTGGAGCAGCAAGGAGCCTCCCCATCACAGGCGAGCCTCGAGCTCCTGCCTGCAGCCTTAAAAGTTGCCTATCCTTCTAGCACAGAGAGAGTGCAGTCTGTTAATTATTTAGATAGCAGAGATTTCATCTGGAAAAAAAATAGTCACATAAAATGGAATTTTTGAATGAGGTGTGATAATTAAGTACTAGTTGTGTGTTTTTGTATTCCAATGCTATCTAAATTTTATTCTACTTGAAGCTGTTTTCCCATGGTTTTGTACAAAAATACTGTACAAAGCAGGAAACTTATGGCAAACAAGGTGCAGCTCCATTATGTGAGGACCTGTCATTGTTTTTTCTTTTGAAGGTATTTGGATCACATTTGTTATCCCAGACAGTCTTGTGGTGAATCTGAGGGGAAATGAGACTAAATTAAGGTCGTGGATTGCTGCATTTGTCACTTCGTAATATGAAAACCTTTGAATGAGGGGTCTGAATATAGAGTATCTTTTTCCATCTGCTACACTAAAATTATTACGGTTTTCCCTGTTCTTTCCAATACCAAATACACTGAAAAATAAGAATCCTGAGATATTATAAATCTGTTTCTCTATCTTGAGAAGCTGATGGCTTGGCATGTTTTGTTTATTCTCCACTGGCAATTTTTCCTGGAAGTAGCAATGTAAGGAGGAGAAATTCAGTAGATTCAGTCACAACAATGAGATGTGTAACGGCAATTTTTAAATTTTATGTTATTTATTTATTTTATGAGAAATGGTAGATTTTCAAGCAATGCCATCTGGAATATCTGGTGGGACACTGCAACCACTGCTGATTATTCCCGGCATCCAGTGCAGGATCTGCTTCAGGGTCTGGGGCTATCAGCTGTGGAAAGCTAACCCCCGAGTGTTCCCTTCTGCAGAAACCGCCCTGAGCTCCCTCAAGCAGCCGCACACGGACCGTCCCCCCGTGGTGTCCTCGCCGCACCAGCGCAGGGACTCGGACCGGTACTGCCAGCTGTGCGCCGCCTGGTTCAACAACCCCATGATGGCCCAGCAGCACTACGACGGCAAGAAGCACAAGAAGAACGCGGCCAGAGCCGACCTGCTGGAGCAGCTGGGGAAGACCCTGGACCTTGGCGAGCTGAGAGGTGAGGGCAAGGGGAGAGCAGGGGGCTGCTGCTGCCTTCTGAGTCTGATGCTGCTGTGAGATGGTGCTCTGCGGTTCAGCAGCATTATTTAGAAGTTGTTTTCTAAGCTTTTCTTTGCCTCTCCCTAAAGTAGTCGCATCTGTTAGTACATCCATCCTTGAGTAAGTGTTGGATGATCCCTCTGAGCCTAGAGGAAAGGAGGGCAGAGCTCAGCCCGGCTGGGAGCCCAGGAGCGGGGCTGCTCCACTGCTGCAGGCAGAGCCCGACCCTGCTGCAGGGAGAGGGAGCACACAGTGTCTAATGTGACTTAATTGGTGTGTGTGAAACTCTGCAGCACCCTGGGCCCAAGAGAAGTATTGATTGTTTGCTATCGGTGTGTTAAACATAGATTTGCTGTTTTCCTGCTGAAGGGAGAGTGTCTCTCTGGGCTGGTCCAGGCAGTGAGTGAGCCGAGCCCTCCTCAGCTGCCGTGCCTGCTGCTGGTGTATCGTGTTGGTGGCAGGCAGATGCTGGTCATTAGCTCACTTAAAGTTGTGTGTGTTTATGGAGATGTGCTAATTTAAACCACCTGAGGATGTGTCCTCACACTGAACTCTGAACAAAGCTCCTTTTTAATATAGAGATATAATTACTGGAGAATAGGTAAGGACCTCCATTTGAAAGAGCGTTCTCTGTGGTCTCCAGATACAATCCTGCATGTACACAGTATGTCTGACTGAAATGTGCTGAGCAAAAAGTACAGGTTTGATTTTCAAAACCATACGGGAGAGCATTAACATTTTAAGATACCTTCTTTATCCTTGCTAAATGAAATAATTTTCCTTTAAATACTAATTACTGTGCAGTATGTTGTGCATTTCTTGATCTCCAGTAAGCCTTGTAATGGTTATCCAGATCCTTCGTGTGCTACCCGGTGTGACTCACAGTGCCGTAAATGATTCATGTGGCTGAGTCACTGCCCACTGCTGAAAATACACAGGGAAATAAAACCTGGGACAGTAACATGGAAGTGCTTAGTACTGCGAACTCTGCCAAGCTCAGGAGTGGCTGAAGATGTCACTAACTGTAAATAAATCAACGGCGAAGTGCTTTATTCATTTAGCTCCTGCTGAGGAGGGTTGAAGTCGGAGGGCTGTGTGTCCTGCCAGCACCAGCAGGACCGTGTGGGGTGTGAGCACCCGCAGCGTGGGCAGAGGTGAGCTCTAGGTGCTGCGAGCTGCACGGCCAGGCCAAGGAAAGCGGGGCAGGCTGCTGCTGATGTACAAAACCAAACCAAACCAACCAAAAACCAACCAAAAAACAAAACAAAACAAAAAACAAACAAACAAACAAAAAACACAGAATGAAATCTCCTGGATGTCCAAGGAAATAGTTTACTTTGGCAGATTGTGTCAAGTATTACTTCAAGAAAAAGGTTCAGAGTTACCAAATGGCAACCTGTCCTGTGCTGGCAACTGAGACCTCGTCTGACCATTGATTTCAGTGTCCTGCAGTTTGGTGTCTGCAGGACGTGGTTGGTGTCATGGCCATGTGCTCTCTGTTCCCTCTGCTTGTTTTGAAACCTCACTGTTCACTCGAATGCAGACTCATTTCCTTTCCATGCTGTCCCTGGCTTTCCCAACACAAGTTAAATATTAATTGTATTTTGACTACTGTGGGAGACGTTTGATGCGTTGTGTAAGCCTGGAAAGAGCAGTGTCAGTTGAAGTACAACATTTCAGCAGCCTTTGATGCTTTGATAATGGCTATAATAAAATATTTATTGATAAATATGAATGTGTATTTGGAGAAATAAGAATAGAGTTATATTTTTGGACAAGTGATATTTATGGGAAACAAAAACATTGATTCTTCTTGCCAAGTGCTCATCTTGCAATTTTGAAATCTTACTTCTTTTCAGAAATGAGAAGGGGGAGGGGGGGAGCAAAAAGATGCCTCAATAACAGCACCATTTCACTAGCGTGTTCCAAGGTAAAGCTACGATGCACGTGAGCACTCGGTCACGTAGTCTGAATGCTTTGGCCAAGCAGTAGGTGCTGTTCAGGGTGATGGAGAATGATGATTTTGTGTGAGATTTAGGTAGTGGGATTGCATTAAAATTAAATGCCATTACAGTGGCGCTGCAGAGTGCAGAGCAGAGGGAGCTGAACCACTGCAGCTCCTTTCAGGGTGCTGTGCCTTGGGTCTCACCTTTCTGCTGGCTCTCTGTGGTGCCTGCCAGTGAAATTTGGATTTTACAGAGTGATGGAGACAGATTAGGGGCCAGCCTGTAGGTGGGATGCTGTAAACCACGTGAACATGAGTCGTCTTCCCAGAGCACTTGGTACCTGGTGAACAAGAAAGGCACCAGTCCCTAGAGCCCAAACCAGTGCCTGTCAAAGGGATTGCACCATGAAGCCCTAGAATAAAATATAGCAACCTCTGCAGTAAAGCAGAATGGGAATGGTTGCACAGGGTTGTTGTCACCTACAGCCTTTGTATTCTCCATACAAAGGTAAATTGTCAGAGGTGCAGACTTTATCTTGAAAAATCAGGCAAAGAGCTGAGTTTAATTTTCCTCCATGGCTCGTAATTTCCTTGTATGCCTTATAAATACTTTTTGTACTGTGCTGTCGCTTTTGGTTAGTAAGAAGCGATTTAACAAGTACTCCCCTGGAATGTGTTTTAATGCATTTTATGCAGAATGACATTAATGACTTTACTTTTTAATATTTTATTTAATGGAAATAAGAGTGCATTCAATTTTACATGCTTGTCATGATTCAGGGGAGAGAATGCTGATATGTCATGATGATGCAAAAGTAAATGTGAATATAGACAGAACACAGAATTTACTAACAAGCTACTCTGGCTGGGACCACCTTGGCATTGCAGACTACCTTCTGTACTGATATTCAACTCCAGCACGCTTTGTTCAGGCTTTGGCTGGGCGCATTTTATGACACTAGTTTCCACTGAGTTGGCAACCTTGGTAAGCTCGAGTGAGATCAATACTCTTAATTTTGGGAGTGATCGTTGCTTTTAGTTTCATCCTGCAGTTTATCCAAGGCTATTTTTATTGTTCTGTGTCTAATTTCAGCGGAGGCCATTTCACACCTGAGGCTTCAGCTCCACAAATCCTTCTCAGGGCTCACGATTTTGGCTGGCAGGTCGGGCAACCCCTTGTTTGCAACTGCGAGATGCTCTGACGTGCTGTGGAAAGAAATCGGTGTCCCCAGTTCGGAACTCTAGTGACTGGTGGTGTTTCCACCTACACAAGTAATTAAGGGTCAGTAAGGCTGTTGTTAGTGTCTGCCATTAAATTAGCCGCTGAGCATTAGAACCTTATTACCTTAATTTAAAGTGTTGCCAGGTTCTCAGGCTGCAGTCCTGGTGTCTGCCTTGCTGGGGTCACGGCACTGTCCAAAGGCTGCAAGAGGTGCTGAGGCACCTCCCGTCCCTGCTGCGGTGCCTCTTCCATCCCTTGCCCTGTGGCATGAGCGCATCTGGTCCCTGCCTCCTAGAGCCCAGTGCAACGTGCATGGGCTGCCAGCGGTGGTCAGAGCGTGGCTGTAAATCCATTGCTGCTGCATCTCCAGTACACTCAGTAAGGAGAGCATCCAAAAACGTATTTGCAGTGTGATTTTTTGCCATGCCACATCGCAACACACAATGATGTAGGTGACTGCTTAAATACCTCTACCCTATAGCTTACTCCCTATTCTCAAGTACTCACCTGGATATTTTTAAAGATGTTTAGCTTTATGTTGGGCCAAATTCCTAGGTGAGAGATGCTCAAGGTGTTTGACCAAAGTGGGGCTGTTTTGTCTAGCTAGGGTCTGATGTTCAAAAAAGATAAATGTGATTTTATGAGAGCCTGCAAGACATAGCTGGGGAATGGTTAGTGTATATCCTATACTGGTTAATTATGGTAAGCATAAACTGATCACATTTGATAATGTTGTACATTACTTATTCTAAATGGAGTATTTGAACAATTTCTTTGAAGAAATAATACTGTGGAAATTCAAAGAGACGGATATATGGTACATTAAAACTGTTCTTAAAGAGCTTAGCAGCCCATGGTAAGAATCCCACAACTCTGGTATTTTAAGCTGAGCCCTTCAATTAAGGTTGAAATGCTCTGTTCAGATCTTCATGGAAGTGAATCAGTGCAAAGCAGAAACCTGACCACAGAGACTCTGAAATTCACAATTCCCTTTACTTCTAGGAGAACAGGACAGAAATTACTTTAGCATCAATGGTTTACTGTAATGCCGATGTATGTTTAATGTCAGTGATGTTAATACTGCCTGTGATGCCAAGGGAATTACTAGGATGTTAAAATACAAAAGAGGGGAGGAGAGAAGAAACCACTCTCTTACATTCAGGGTATTAAGGGAGACAACAGAATCAGGGGATTGGAAACACTTAGGCCTGCATTTAAATGCTTAATTTATGTCAAGTCTTGCCCTACATAACAGCAATAAGAACACTCAGATTGCCATCTCCCTTTTTCAAGGATATCCAGGAGGGAAACAGGCATTTAATGTACATTCAGCCGCACTCTGTCTTTTCAGTAAAAACATGTTAGATGAGGCACAGAAGTGACTGTTTCTGTAATTCTGCTTTGAAACCACTGTACTCTTTTCCCAAGGTGAAAGAATAATGGAGTTAAATGGTATGTACACGGCAGAGATAAGAGAGCCTTATCCTTTCCCGGGCACTCTGGCACTCTGAGTTGTACTGACCCTTGGCACCTTGTTGCCAAGTTTGCTCCGTTTATAGAAACCAGAAATTGCTCGTGTTTTTCTGCCCTTCATTCTGGCACAGCACGTGGAGCTGGGTGGGCACGGAGCCTGTCCTTGCTGTACGGTCCCTGCATGCTGCTGGCACCGCGTGGATGCTCTTGCCCCAGCCATCCTCAAGCCCCTGCTGCAGCACCCACTGGCTCCAGACCCCACGGGTCCCACCGGGGCACAAGAGCAGCCTGTGGGAGTTGGGTGCTGTGAAAGGCAAGGAGATGCCACTGCTGTTGGATTTCCTAAAAGAGGCTTCTGATCCCTCCTGCAAAAAACAAATGTTGAACCCAGAGAGTGGTCTGCCTCTCCCCATTTCCGGACAGAGAAATAATAATAATAATAATAAAAGAGAAACAAATTGAATCTGCTATGCCCAAAGGCCCTTGCAGCTGTGGAGAAACTTTCTCAACAATATTGTGTTCTTATGGGACTGCACAAGTCATTAATGAATGGTTTGGGTGAAAACCTGTCTAGAAAGGCAAAATCGGAACATTAGTGTGTAAATAATTACTTGATCTGTGATGTCCGAAGCAGGCTGATGTCCTTTCCAGAGGGAGGGGGGAGTGTAGCAGGGCACTAGGAATAAATTTCTTCAGAAGTGGACCAAATTGAGAATCTTTCCAGGAAATACACACTGACGCGAACCAAAAATACTATTGGTCATTTTGACCAGCCACTGGGCAGCAAGCTGTCTTGGGAAAAGGCCTTTTTCCTCTGCCTCTAACTCTGATTGTTGCCTGTCTGCTGGGTTACTATTTTTAGGTTTTCAGTTTTTCAGAGAAGGCAAAGTCTTGATTTTGTTGTACTGCTGAGAACTGAGAATGCTCTTAGCCTTAAGTTAAATTATATTTTAATTATCATTAAATTACACTTCAGGGAAGGAAATTGTCAAATGACAAATCGGTTTTTATTTAGTGCAAGACTTTTAGAATAGTTTTTTTTTTTTTTTTTTTTTTTTTTTTTTTTGTATTTCTCTGGGTATCACAGGTGCCTGTTTTTCTCATGCTTTGCTGTACAGAAATTCCACCCTTAACCCCGAACTTTTTCTTAACTCCAAAATTCCCCGTTCCCTGAGATACAACCAGGACAATTCACTTTATTAAAAGGTCTGAAACAACATGCAGTGGAAAGGATGGTATCAGAAGAAAAGCAATAATAACTCGCCCAGTCTGAGTCCCGGTTAACAGAAAAAAAAAAAAAGAAAAAAAAAAACTTTGGTAGCAATGTAAAAGCTATTACAATTTTTAAATGAGCAATTTTTATTGTATGCATAAATCATCTCCCATCTCTTGCTTTTTTTTCTGCTATTACACAACAGTTAGACACGGTTTGTATATAACTTGGGAATATCTCCAAAGAAAGGTGGCTCATCTCTTGTTATCATGCTCTTGTTTGCGTTGTGACTGCCCTGATAACCCTGCAGGGTCTCGTGGTCATGTTCTGTGCATGCACACTCTTGAGGTGAATAAATGTCTTGTCTGCAGTGAATGTCTCGGACCCTTGAGATGTGATCATAGGCAGTAGACGGAGCACAGGTGAATTTTTGTTGATTCTTCATCTTGGATGTGTTCCAGTGAATGTGCAGAGACTGTTTTTGTGACTTTGCTCATAAATCGTTTTGCAGCTTCTGTCTGAGATGTGCGTGAATCTGCTTAATTGTCTGGGTCTTTTTTGCCCTGCAGTCTCTGCCCAGACACAGCGCAGTGAATTAGCAGAGAAATGCTGCCTACTCTGAGTACATTTTCTGTCCACGAAATTGAGTGCTCCTCTTCGAGCTTAAGCGTCTTTCCCATGGGGCCAGTGGCCCAGTGTGGGAATGCAGCTTCCACCCTTTTGTGCTCCCCCCTCGCCCCATATTCCTGGAGGTGCCCATGTGCTTTGATTCAGTGCTGCTGACACCAGTTGTGTCCTCTTTGCTGGCAGCAGATAAAGCTTACATGCATGTTACTGGTGCATTTCAATGGAGACCAGCACTTCCCTGGGCTGCCTGCTCTTGCATTAACTTGTATTAGCTTTCTGAAACTTACATTACAATAAAATGAAATGTGAGGTATTTACTTGGAAAATGACTTGTAGCTGTGGCCGTACAAATAAATAATAAATAAATAAATAAATAATAATAAATAAATAAATAAAAAGGAAAACAGCAGGCGCAGCTAAGAGATTTGTTGGATGTTAAAAATGAAAAACAAGCAAAACTCCAACACAAAACAAATGAAAACAACCCCAAAAGTTCCTAATAACATTTCCACTGTGAGTGCACTGCGATGTTAGTTCAGTGGTGCTCAGCTGGCCAGCAGTGAGAGTAACGCCTTTATGAATAGTTGTTTGCATCCACGGAGGGCTAAAATTAGTAAAGCAAAGGCTGCTCTGTGGTCGGGGTGCAGACAGGTATTGCAGCCAACAGTAAATCTGTCAGGCAAACGAGCTCCTGGCTGCCAGCTTTTGGATGGCCCCCAGGCAACCCGTGCCAGGTTTGCAGCTCAACCTTCAGACACAGGCTGCTGGGTGCCTGGATTTTGGAGATCAGCTGATGTGCTCAGCAAATCCAGCCTCTCATTTCAGTGGATACATGTGAGTTGATCCTTTCTGGGGGGGGGAAAAAAAAAAAAAAGGAAGAAGGAGAAAACAAAAGCCCCTAAGTGGTCCGGCCTCTAAATGCAATGATGAGGAATAACACTCTGATCTGTGCATGCTACAAAAGAGCAGAGGAATAAATGAGACCTCAGTACTCATTAGTGTGAGCAAAATTATGCTTTGTGAGAGTCGTGGGAGAGAGGTGCCTGCGATGGTGAGCTGTGGGGACTGCGGTCTCCACAAGGGAGTTGCCTCTGAACCCTGCCTGGTTCTGCTCCCTCTGTGCCTTTTACAAATATTCCTTTAGGCTTCCCCAATGCTTGTGTACCCTGGACTGGAAAAGTAAATAGAAAGGTTACTGTAAGGAGAAAGTCTAGGAAACTGGAAATGAAACACAAGATCTGAGTGCCTTCTGATTAATTAGAAGCTAGCAGAGGGCAAGGGTTAATGCTCTTTTTTTGGGGTGGTTTTTTTTTTTTTTTTTTTTTTTTTTTCTTCAGACATCTTCATCCATTTGCACTTTCTAGCTGCCATTTTGATTCAGAACAGCCTGTGGCACAGGCAGGATTGTGCCAGGGACCTGGAATGGAAGGGAAGTCCTCTGCTTGGTGTCTCACTTTCTCTCCGTCAGAGGATGAGGAGGCTCAGCACATTTCCTAAGGCAGATGCCTTTTGCAGTGACAGTGACAGCCACTGGCCTGTGGCGTGTGGAGCAGAAAGGCAGAGGGAAAGAGGAATAGCAAATTGCAACTGCAAAAGAGGAGGAATAGGTCCTTAGCTGTGGTGACCACCCATGCATTTTCTCTCGGCATTACCACTGTTCTATTTTTCCCCAAATGGTTCTCTGTAGGCAAGATAAGAATTGCTTCGCTTTCCCCATTAGTTTTCATGGGTAAGAGCAAATTCTGCCATTTTCTGCAGTACAGAGGTGCTTTTTCTCTCTACATAGCCCTAAGCTTGCCCCCAACCTACTCCAGAATGCTCAGCCAGTGCACAACTAACACTTCTGGCTTTTCTTTGCAGGCCTGAAGCGCAGCTACACGTGCAACATCTGCAACGTCACGCTGAACTCGATAGAGCAGTACCACGCGCACCTGAAGGGCTCCAAGCACCAGACCAAGTGGGTATCAAATTGCTCCTGGGCCCTTCTGTCTGTGTCCTCCCAGGTGAACAGGCAAATATAAAACAATGCTTTACGCCCCTCGTCCGAGGCGCTGCCAGTGTTACACGTGGATGTTGGAGGCACCCATGGAGGGGGATGTGCGGGCTGAGACCGGGGGCTGCTGGGTGCCCCCCCAAGGGCAGCGCAGTCTGTTCGCCATCCCCTGCCCATCGCCGCGTGGAAGGTTTGCTGTCTCTCCCTGCTGAAATGCTTGATTTGAGCGTATCAGAGTGTGTTGGGAACCCAAATATCTGCCCATCCTCACAAAACTGAACAGTGTGTGTTGGTTTGGGATGGACAAAGAACAAAGGGGCAGCAGTGAACCAAGAGGTTAACAGCACCTCGTGTGATGCCATACCGCGTCGGGAGCCTCTTTCGTGTGTTAAGCCTCAGGAGAGGCACTGGAAGCAAAGTGGGCTCAGGTGTTTCCTACTGAAAATGTTTGTGCTATGATTTAGAGCAATTACATACGACCCAAGTTTCTGAGTCTTAGAGGAAATCTGCTCTGTCAATTAGTACAAATTATTAAAATGAAGTGATAGAGATACGTGGTACCAAAGAGTAGATTAACGAACTAATCTCTCTTAATACACTTACATGTGAGCTTTGGGAACCATTTCAGGCTGAAGCACCGAGGGCTGCCCAGATTAGAAAAGGGATATCAAAGGTGCATTAGTTACTGAAATACTACAGGTAGTTTTAAGTGCAGTCTGAATGATGAGGGAGGATGATCAAATCCGTCAGTAAGTGCTAATGCCTCATCTTGCTTAAGCTACCAAAGGACAAATGCAGCCCTTCTTCTGCTAATGTTAGACCTTCAAAGATTCCCTGTAATATTCATGTTATCTCTGCCCTGTTTATTCACACAGAGTGTTTGAATGTCTTCCAGATATTACCCTTCCTGGACCTGAGCATGTAGTCATATTCAGGATCTTAATTAGCGGAAGGAACTGATGGCATCAGATTTTCTAATGAGGTGTTGTTCTGCCTCCCCCTCTTTGCAAAAGATGGATGGAGTGGAGGGAGAGGCAGCTGCTGAGCGGCCGTAATTGCTCCAGCAGCACCTCCCAGTCTGGATGGCTCTGCAGAGGAGACAGCTGAGGCCAGGCAGTCAAGAGGTGGCTGTAGGCTCTGCCCTGTGAGACTCAGTACTTCATTTTTTGCCTCCCTGTTCTCTTTTGGTACGTCCAACTGATGGCACATCCCTGCTCCAGCAGGCTGCGCATGCAGGGACGGTGCCGATGGGATCAGTGTCGGTACCCTGCCGCAACCAATTCCCTCTGCAGGAAAACAGAGCTGACAGCTCTTCCTGTTGGAAACCTGAAATGAGAGCAGCTGTGATGTGCTGCCAGGGGCATGGAGCTGTAATTCGTCTTTCCCCTGCCAGTCTTTCTGAGTTTGTATTTTTATTGCTGTTGTTGGTGCTGCTCTTATTGCAAAGGAAAAAGGAGTTCATTTCAAATCAGGGCAGCCTCACGGACAGGAGATAGGACTGTGCAGAAGAGATGTGCCACTTTTCTTTTTCAGCATGGGTGGGTGCCGCTCATTCTGTTTTACATCCGCACCTCCCCCTTTTGTTTTTCAGTCACCTGCAATTAGTCACAAGAGTGACTCTTCCAGACCAGAAACACCAGGGCACAGGGTGAGCAATAGGAAAGCACCAGAGTATGATGCACTGAACATCCCAGGGCAGTGAGGACTGGGTTTGGCATCTGGGGGCACCTCATGTGGATGATGCAAGCTGCATGATAGTGCACAACTCCGGGGCCGAGGCGCAGTGGAAGTCCCAGATGGTCCCTGAGCTTTCCGGAGCTCTGAAAAAACATGAATTATTGATAGGGAGATCCGTTCCTCTTTCATCTCCATGAGGATCAAGTCAGCCTGTGCTGGGAGCACCAGAGTGGCTCAAAGGCCTGCAGGACTTTTAAGGACCTCCTTCTTTTACAGATTAATGGTTTTATCAGTCTTTCTAAATTTAGTTTCTTACCATTCACTGGTAATGATTCAAATCTTGTCCCAAGGGATTTTCATGGGCATTCAGTACAAGAGGAAACAAAGTAATAAATTCACACAAAAGTGTGTTACAAATGTAATAATGAAATGCCAATTAGAGACATTCGTCTGACCAATTTCTATGGGAAATTGCTCTGATTATTTTATTTCCTCTATCCATTGTTCATTCTTATACAATTTTCTTTGAGCCTAAGTATCTGAGTACTGCACAGCTCTCTGCAGCTCCTATAGGAAAGCACAGAAGCATGGGAGACAATAGATCGACAGCTTGGGTTTGTGCAAAACAAAAGCTCTTCCCACCCTGTAATTAGTGTGTAACCAGATTTTGCTCTCCTTGTTTAGAGGCGTTTTTGTGGCTTCATTGTCCTCTATATGGGACTGAGGAAATAAGTTACCGTAACCTTTTATCCCAAACCAGCACAGCCCCCACTCCAGTTTAAGGGGTCTGTAAGAGCCATCTGTGCTGCCAAAGCAGCTGGACCAGGGCTGCAGCCCTGCGATGAGCCTGGGGCGTCTCCTGGCCCTGGTTCTTCCATGTGCTGCGTGCACGGAGCTCGTACACAGTGCTTGGGGCCGGCTCTGCGGGTTATGGTAACAGCACGCAGTGAAGGGATTCAGAAAGGTAAAGCAGCTCTTACAGGTTGCGTTCCTGACTATAGAAGACATCGATAGTGCAGACAATGATGAAGAAATCTTCATTACTAGTGCTATAAATGAATACATTGTGAAGAGGGATTCTCCATTGCATCTTGGTCAATGTGCAGGTGACAAAGGGGGCACCAGCCCTCTGCCGAGCCTTGCTTCCAATGCAAAGGGAGAGCAGAGCTGCACGAGCCCGGTAGATTTTGGCAGGGCTGCCTCTGTTTGTTTACACTATGCTTCCTGCAAATGATTACCTCTTTCATGCACCGAAAGCTCATTTTGAAATCCAGATGTGTCTCTTCTGCACTCATTTCCACTCCTACCTTGTCCGTGAGCTTGGCTCTCGTGGGTGCAGGAGAAGCAAATTGCTCTGCACATGTATGCAAAGTAAGGAAGCCTCATGCCCTGTTTAGCTTCTTGCCCACCGGTTTTTGTTATTCTCATTATTGTGGGTTAGTGTCAAGACTGTCCTCTTCCTTATAACCCAGATTGAAGCTAGTGCATTGCAGTTGCCAAGGCAACAAAACATTTTACGTAGCTGTCATACTTAATATAATAAAAAAGAGCTTGTAAAGGAGAGGGATTTAGCTTTGGGACAGGTTAACCGGGAAGGTGATTGCAAGTTGGAAACTGGTAGCACCCAACATATACCAGGCAGAAGACTTCTGAAAAGCTGCTTTGGCAGAGAAGAACTTTTATGAGGACTAACTCAAGTAGTGGATACTTATTACAGCTCTTGAGAGCTCTCCAGAGGGCACCATACATCCAAGGCATTGCTGGAATTGCTTTAAATAACCCACTGTACAGCAGCCCCTGGGTGGCTGCACAGCAGGCCGTGCCGTTTGCACCTTCCTTCGTGTCTCAGCACGGGTGCTGCTGGTGCCAGAGCCCCGTCAGTGGGGCAGGAGGTCCGAGGCTGCTTCGCCCGTGGCTAACCTGCTCTTCCTTCGGCGGGGTCTGATGGGGAGTGCTCAGCTAGCTATATACAGGAGTGTCAGGGTTTCATCTGAATGCTTCCTGCTGAATTTATTTGCATGACCAAAACATGGGTGTGGGGGAGAAAAATAGCTGAAAGTGTCTTGGCTGGTATTTTGATGTTGAATAAAAGAAGCAGAAGGAGGTAGCTAGTATTGAGCTAGTCCTTATCCCTCTGGCCAATCATTCTGCAAAGCAAGGCAATGGCTACTTGCTCCCCTTTTTTTCTCCAGGGTGCAGATACTTGAAGTTGTATATGTGAAAATGAAGCAAGAATGCATCCTTTTTATTAATATCATATAATAAAGTGAAGAATTTGGAGCCAGAGCCAGATACAGAAGAATATTTCTTTTGAGCCATCATAAATCTGGCACCCAGTCAGTTTACGTCAGGGGTCAGGCCGTGCTCATCATCGCTCTGACGGGAGCTGTGCGCTCGCACACCAGCTGAGCAGGAGCTGCAGGTTACTGGCGTGCAGCGATGGAGCTGGTCTGTGCTGGGGAACACGAGCACAGGCTGCACGGAAGCGGGGTTTGAAATGTGGCTGGACTCTGGAACATCTGCAGTGGGAAGGGGAGCTAAACCTTTAATTAGGGATTTATGAACTGCGCAGCGATGATTGAGTCATTGTTTGACTTGCTTTCCAGAAATAGATGTGCGATTTTTTTTTAATCCCCCTTTCTCCCTTCCTTCCCCCCCAAAACGAGCAGAAAACAGCAGAAGGACGAGCGCAGCGTGAGGCGCTGGGCTGCGAGTGCCCAGCTCAGCTGGACCGCGGTCAGCACCAGCGGCTCGGTTTCTATGGGGACCGAAAAATGCGGCTTGTGAGGAGCCGTGCGAATGAGGTCACGTTATCTCTGAAACACTGGAAGAAAATCACATGCTGGCCTTGCTCCTTGCTGCTTACAATAGGAAAGACACAAAACTCTTCACTCCTTTGTGGTTTATGTGAGCTGCGAAGATCTGCTAAAAGTCCTTTTCAATAAACAAGGGAGAGTGAGAGTCCTGGTGGCTGTGAAAGGAGAGGCGATATTCAAGTTCTGGGGTCAAAGAAATGCTGGTGCAGGATGTCAGCTTGTGGCACTGTGAAAAACGAGGAGGTCCTACGGGTCCCGTGGCTGCAGAGCAGAGCCCGGCCCCGCACTGGTGCCCGTGCTGGTCCTGTGGCCTCGCGCCCCAGTAAGGTGTGGGGCAGCAGGAGCCGCGTGCTGCCCCCCACCCCATGGCTGCGGGGAGCTGAGCGGGGCCCCGGCCATTCGGAGCCTGGCTGCACCGGGGTGGCGATTCCAGCATCCATAGAGGGGTTTGATCCTCTCACCTTTATTTTGTCTCTTTGATCAGGCAGACCGCTCTGCCACATCTAGAATTTGCAATGGTGTGCTGGTTTGCTATAACCACTCATTTACACATTTGTAGATGCTAATACGCATCTAGGTTTCCCCTTCAAACTCCTGCTTTCTGATTAATTTTAGGATTTGTGCAGTGATGGGACCTGATCCTGCAGCTGCCATCGTGGTAGGATTGATTCAGTAGGAATCTAAACATGCTGGAGGAGGGCAGTATTTGCCCAAAATGAATGTTGGAGGGTTGAGAATGGCCATGTTTACTTTGAGGTGTGCTCTGAAGATCTTTCCTCCCAGCCCTTCCCACAGTCGTTGGATTGTAAAGCCCAGATGATTAATGGCCTGCTGAGGAGCAAATGACAGCAGGCTTAGTGCCTGCGAGTATTTTTTTTTTTCCTGATTCAGAACACAGATGTCTAATTGGAATAGGGTATTTATTAACATAAACTGCTTGGCTATTCAGAAATCGGAGCTAATCAAAACATTGTAAATATCATGCCTGGACAAATGTCACTCTTCACTGTGATTGCATTTCCATATTTTTTCCAATCTATTTAAGAAAGTGTAAACAAATATTTACAGCCTGTTGTGGCTGACACGTTCCTTGCTGTGGTGTTTGATGTGGCAAGCATGCACATAGAAGCAGTGCAGTGATGTCCTGTCTCACCAGGCTGGGATAACATTTCCAATAAATTTCAAGAATTTCAGAAAATTATATTAAATACTTGAGTTGTATCATGTGCTTTACAACAAAGTAGAATGATTTTTTTCTTACCTTGATGACTGCAACTTTTATTGGTAGCAGTACCATTTTCCATGTGCTTTCTGTAATGTATAGTGGCTGCTGCCTAAAATATAAAGAATCCTTTGGAGTGATAATAACTCCAGAAGATGAATAGTTATAAAAGGTGGATGGAATTGAAAGGCATTTTAATTTGTCATTATTTCGGTGATTCTGGAGAGCAGCTGAATAATTACACTGCCTATAAAGAGCAAGTGTGTAATACTTTCTCTCATTACAGGATTAAATTGTCTCCCTTTCCTTTAAAGTAAGTGAAAATAAAGATCTCTCTGATATCTGCTGTTTTGATCGTAATTTGAAAGCCACAGAATTACTGGTGCAACTTTGTTCCATGCTGTCTGCTGTACAGATTAATTATTTTCATGTAAAGCATTAGCGGCCTGATTTCTCAAAGTGTAAATCTGGCCTCACCCATGGCTGCTGAACGAGGAAGAGGAACTCGTTCCTCGAGAATGTGCCAGCTCATAAACAAGGCAAGTCTTGCAGGCTCTGCTGGCCTCTTAAACTGAGGATTCAAAGAAAGCGCCCTTTTTTCAAGTTGTTACAGCACTTTTCTTTCATGATATCCGTGCTTATCCTCTGTGCTTAAAATTTCAAATGTTTTAGGCAGAAAAAGTGTGCCTATATGTTTTTTTAGAACTGAGCTTTCCTCATCTCTCACATTAAAAGAGCTGAGGTGGTGGCATGGGGCAGGGTCCGGCCTGCTGGGGAGGTGGGGGGGGGTCAGTGAGAGGCAGATACAAGTGAGGAGCATGGGGACTTAGCCCCAAGCCAGAAATAACAAGGGTGAGAGTGACTTCTGCTCCGTTCCTGTGTTGCAGCCTGAAGAACCAGTAGTAGTTCATCCGTCGAAACAAGGAAAAGCACTGAGACTTCTTCTGCGGGGAGGAACTGCGTAGCGAGAAGAGAGGATACTTTTCTTGGACAATGATCCCGTGGGGATTCGGTAATTAACATGTAACTAACCTTCGCTTTGGACAAATACATGGATTTTTTTTAATTTTGTGGTGAGTTAAAATATTTCAATGGATTTTTTTACCCTTTCAAGATAATATTTATTCAGCACAGAGTCCTAGAGTATGATAACTATCCTGTAAATACAACACCTAATCATCACTCATCGTCAGAGACAGTGGAAAGAAAATATTTTACTTTTTCATATTTATTCCTAGATTTCTTCTGAGAGTATGAAATTATTCTATTACGTTATCCACGGTAGTGATGTAATCAGTCTTCAACCAGAAATAAACATGCTTTCTTCACCTTCTCCAGAATGGTTTGTGTCAACACGTAGACAGCCAAAAATGAATCGCAGGGATTGTGTAACGGATGAATGTTTTCCTTTCCTCTTTGTCTTCAGAGAAACAAATGGGTCACTGAACAAAGAAAACTAAAATGAAAGAGTAGGATCCTTTTCCTGCTGGTAGGATTCCTAGAGGCTAGACGGGAGCCATCCGCTTTACCAACTTTGAATGCACGGCTACAGCCTGGCGCTCGTGGCGCAGCCCCTGCTGCACGCGCTTTGCCCACCTGCACGTGCAGGGAGGCAGCCGGGCACGAGGCTGGCGAGGAGGCTGCGTTCAGGACACGGAGGCCAACCTGCACCTGACCTGTGCCTGTCCCCGGAGCTGCCCTCGCTGCACGGGAGCTGGGGCTGCGCCAGGGCGAGCGCAGCTGTGCGGCGAGCTTTGCGCTAAGGCAGGAGCCAGCCGTAGGAGCTGCACACCTTGCAGACCCTTCAGGAACACCTCCCACTGCCGGCTGCTCAGGAAAGCCCTCCAGGCCAGGCTCTGCTCCGCTGTGTGCGGGACCCTGGTCCAAGCACTGCGCAGCCAGCGCCCCGCGACAGGGACTGGCTCCTTGCTAACAGGGAAGAAAAAGCCTCAGAGGATTTGAAGGGAAAAAAATCAACAGCCTTGAATGTCCAAGAGGAACACCGTGCAGATCCCAGCTGGGTCCCAGTCTGTAGCACTTCAGTGCTTGTTGATGAGGAGGGTGTGAATTCCTCCCTGGCCTTGGGGTGAGCTGATATGTAAGTAACTCTATGCACTGGAAATGGGGGAGCTCACAATGATTTTAGGTTTTCTACTGTGGTCAGCAGGAGGAGACTGGATTTCTTACCTAGCCCATTGCAATGCAAAGAACTGTAAGAAACAAGATCAAATTTCAAGTAGGTCCTACAAGGAATGCAAAACAAACCTCGCTGTGGCCTGTGTTACACCAACTCAGTTAGTGCACTTTGCATGCAGCAAACCTATCTTGTGAATGCTGATAGAGATTAAGCACCACCTCTTTAAAGAGCAGTCTGGTTGGTTTGTATGTGTAGTAGCACAATTCTTCTGAGACTGTGGCCATTTCCCTGCTTCTGCATCTCTGAAATAACAGGCTCTGACATTTCCTTTTTGTGCACACTCAACTAGAGGCTGTCTTGCGTCTGGAAGCGAGCAGTGATGTCTATGGATCCATCAGTTCATTTAAGAGAATTCCAGCATCTCATGGAAGAGCAGTGACCCGCCACTGCTGGTTCTGCATCGGGAAACTTCTAATTTAATCCACAGCTCACCACAGTGGCCTGCAGGTTTGTGAATTTTCTGCCAAGTGAACAAATCATCCATAGGTGATTAATCTGTGTCCTCCATCCGCTTCTCTGCACATTAATAAACCAAAGCAAAGAAAAAGTGTATTGCTCTGCATTCTGGTGTTGAGCAGTGCTGTTTGTTTCAGATGAGAGACAGTTGGGCATGTCACTTGGAAACCTGCAGTTACGATGCAAATGTCATTGGCCTGTTTACAGTGTTATTCTGATTGTTGTATGTTTGTAATACAGTTGCCTGTAAGTTAGTGAGCTCGGTAGCAGAGGATGCTGTAGGCACTGCTTGTCGCCTTAATTTTGGTCTCAGTTTGAGTGAAGCACCACCCAAAGGGATTATACAGCAGAACAGATCTGAGTGGCTGATGTGCAAGTAAAATCAAGGCAGCTTCCATGTAAACTTATGCTCAACCATATTTGTGGCAAGTGCAATATTTAAAGTCATTAAGTCAGAAGGCAGCACATGCTAAGCAGTAATTGTCCTGAAACCTGCACTGGTACCTGTAAGACTGTGTAGCTACGAGTAACTCTAGGTGTAACTGAGCCTGTGGGATGAAGAGCAGACTTCTCATGGAGGGGACCTTGTGGTGCCGCAGGAACAAGAAATAGTCTCACTGCTGCTGACAAGGTTCTGTTCTTTGTGCCTCTCCCCACCGTGGGAAGAAGTTCCTCTGCCGGGGCCTGCTGATCTGCACTGCTGCAGCCAGTGGCACAGCGTTTCTGCTGCAGCCCCGTGACAGCCGCTGCAGGAAGCAGAGCCAGGGAAAGCTGCTCTGCTTTGCTTTCTTAGGATTATGCTGTGCAACTGGCTTTTTAATCACTGTCTCACCTGGGACTCTGAAATCCCTCACTACCTCGCTACCAGGGTAACCTTTAATGAAAACAAACCTATTTTTGTTGGTGAAAACGATTCTTATACCTTGAAAAGGTGATTAAAAGCCCAAACTCAACAGATTTATTTTGAAAAGACTCTTTGCAAATCTCTGGGAGAGAAGGAAAATAATTCTCCTAAATCAGGAAGAAAATCAATAGTAGATGTTGCTCCACAGAAGCCCACATTATTTTGCCTGCCAGCAATGAAGACTAAAGAGACCCCTACTAGTCTGAGAAGAAAAGAGACTTTTTTGAATTTGCATTGTGTTGGTTTTTTTGTTTGTTTGTTTGTTTATTTTTCTGTACGAAATCCATTTGCAAATATACTTAATGTTCAGTGCTTTATTTTCATTTGGCGTTAAATCAGAGGACATGCTATGTGTGGATGACAGCTGGGCTAATCGACTTGACAGAATGGAGTGATCCATTGGTTATCTTCATAGCTGATTAACACAAAATTCATGCGGAATTTTAAATTTTGCCTAAATGTCTTTATCTGCTTTGAAAATCTTTCCTGTTATGTTTTGTTTGTGTTTAGTTTAGTTTAGCCTGAGTGGCTTTGTGAAAGATGTAGAGAAGCACCAGTCTTATTTGAAATTAGCATTTAAGGCTTGTTAAGCTTTCTCCCTGCTCAGCACGTGGCGAGCAGCAGCAGGTGGTGGCTTCGATCATCTCACCCACAAGAACAGTGGGCACAGCTCAGCTCGTGGCTCCTCAGCCCTTAGTAGTCAGGGGAGTGCCGAGGAGGTGCTGAGGTTTTCTGCAAATAAGTGCACAGGATGCTGTGATGTGCTTGAAGAATATCCTCTGCTTACAAAAGGGACAACTGAAGTAAGTTACAAATTCCTCTAGTTTACAGTCTGTCTAATGTGATTTTTCCCTTCACTTCTTTGGACATAATAGTCAGGAGAATGTCTAGTGGAGGAAAATGATTGTGTTACAGAGGACTCACGGAGTTCATCGCTAAAACCTGTCCCTTCACTGCTCTCACCTTTTCACTGACTCCTGCTGATTTCATGTTGTGTTTTTAAAACATATTACATGTAATTTGTGTGCCTGTACTTGCATATGCCCAGTATATGTAATACTTGCATTGTTTTTGTGCGTGCTGCATTGCAGTTGCACTGAGAGGCTCCCACACCTACAGCTTTCTCCAGTTAGAAAGCTCGTGGTGTGCAGGGAGGTGCCTGCACATCCAAGCTGTCCCCTGCGCTGTGCCACTGGTCCACACTGCAGCACGCCGTGCTCCTCCAGCCAGCAGCATCTCTCTAACTCGCCGGAGGATCCAAGCACAGCACAAGAACGAGCAGCGTGAGGGACCTTTGCTCATCCTGGGGACTGCCTGGAGCTCTGCTCGCTGTGGAGCCGGCCCCTGGGAATGACCCGTGCATTTCTGTCTTCGGCCATACAAAGGGGAGGGTCAGATGCACTGCAGAATCTAGTTGTTTACTCTCTGGGGATGGTAAAAAGTCCTAAAGAAGCTCTATATGATTAATTTGTGCACTTGCATCAATGCCTTTCATGTGTGGAAGAGAATGGGTTGTTCACAGATGAGTAAGCATCTCCTTAGGTTTCATAGCTCTGGGGCTGTTTCATTTATTGTGTTCTGGGTAATAATATGAGACCGTGTTTCTGAAGCTAAGCCACCTCTTTACAGAGAGACTGATGCACAGAAATAGGGCACATCATTCAGACATGTGCAGCCTGGCTCGTTTGAGCCTCCTTCCCCCCAGATTCTTCCTGCAACACGTGCTCCTTCCTCCAGGTTGCACTTAGGCTGCTGCAGAGGCAATTTTGCAAGGAGAAAAAAGCATCCTCTAACTTGTGTGCTCAGGTAATCACTACAAGCTAATTGCAGCAAATTAATTACTGCACAAACACAATTTCTTTCCCTAGGCATGTGTATAGACAGCTCTGCTTCTGCTGCAGTGAGCTGGGTTGAACTCAGACCCTACGGCCAGCACACGAATCCTTTTCCCCTGCTGTCCTGCCCAGCCTGGAGCTTGTCTGGTCTTAGAGAATGAACAAAGGTGGGAGACTGGTATCTAAGTTAGAAAAGCAATGTTTTATGCCACTCTGGCAGCTTTGCGATAGATGGTTTGTCCTGAGACGCTGCAAGGGTGGTGTGAAGGTAGGTGGGAGCGCAGAAGGAGAGGCAGTGAGGATGCAATGCCACGTCCCACGCTGCCACATCCCAGCAAGCAAGAGGCATGCGAGGTGAGCGCCAGACACCCTGCCACCCCCTCTGCTGCCCTGCTTCAGGCCAGGGTAACCAGGGCAGCACAATATTTGCTTCTGTTGCCAGCGTTGTCCTGGTCCAGTCAATCAGGCTTTGGTCCCTAAATCCTTTTAATCTCTTGCTTTTCCTAAGTTCATTAGGCCTTCAAAGCAAGGCATAAAAAGACAAATCTCCTAGTGGGAAGTCAGTGATCCCTACAGAAATGCCTCCAGATTGCATGCTCTTCTCTGATGTTGAGACCAGTATACCATCCCAGGCTTAAACGCTGTGTGCAGATATGTTGGAGAGCTTTGAAAATGGATACAGTGAAACCCTTGCATCCCTGAAGGTTAGTTTAAATTGAAGGGTGAAGAACACTTGCTTATAATTTCTTTGTTAAAACAACACAGGCTGCATTTTCCATGCAGCACATCTATACGTTACAAAAGTTAATTTTGTTCTGATCAAAGTTACCCAGCTTAAAATTCTGTGCAAGACGGTCTGTAAGGAAAATACATCTCAATAATTGTCAGTCTGGTTGTGTCTTGCCACACACGCATTTCTAAGGAACCCGTGCCAACTGGAGCACTGCAGGCACTGGGTGGCAGCTGGAAGTGTGATTTCAAACACCAGAGCTGTAGTCTTGTAGATGTGTTCTCTTCAAGTTTTGTAGCACATGCTAATACACTTCTCCAGGCTTTGATGCAAGACTGCAGGTTATGTTTCAGAAGGCAAGACGCTACCTTTCTGTAGTGTTTAATGTGCAGACATATTACAGCACAAATAATACATGTTTTTTAACTGGCTTCCTGTGCTAAGGCAATAAAGCTCTATGGCAACAGTGTGTAAAGTGACTCTGCCCTGAGACACTCCACTTAATACAAAGAAATTAATCATGGGAGAAGAATACTTCTGGTATGTAAGTGGTACTTTCTTTGTTAAGTTCCTCTTGCATCAACTTAATTAGCAAGTCCTGACCTTTAAAACCACCTTCCATAATCTTCAAATTATGTATGCAAAAGTCTGCATTCCTCCTCCTGGCTATGCTAGCAGCTTGCCACACTTCTCTGGGTTTCTCTGAGCTCCTGCAGTGTGTGGCCAGCTGGAAGTCCTCTCCCACCAGCGAGAAGTGATTGGGAACCTCTGCCGCTGATGTGGTGTGAGACGGGAAGGACCCAATTTGGTTGTTCAATATTCATAACATTAAGAAAGAGCAAATAGCCATTGACTTTCCAATGTGTTCCCCACTTATATTACTGCACTGAACTTGATTTCAAGACTTGAGGATAAATTTTCTAGTCTAATTCTATTTTCAGTGTCAGAATAGGGATGATGGAGCTATTCCTATTGACCTAGTGATGTTTATCTTTGCTATGTATGTTCCGGCTTTCGAGTGCTGGGCCAGGAGGCAGCTGCAGAACTCTTCAGGACTGAGCAATGTATTACACTTTTATAGCTCTTTCTTACTTATTACTTGTACCCTCAGTCACAGGAGAGCTAAAGCAAACTATAAAATTCCTTCTCTATATCATTTCCTCATTTTCCCAGCACCTTTGTTCATGTCATAATCCTGCCAGTACAACTCAAAATCATCTCCGAGTGCAGCTGGCTTGTACCCTTGCCAGGACCTCATTTCACATCCTTTAACAGAGGGGTTGCAGGCTGTGGTTTTGCTAAAGGCACAGGGCTGAACATGAACAGCTGAGGCTAAGCAGTTCCCTTGGATGTCTCTCCGTGCCAGAGGGCCACCAAATGCGCTGGAGTCCGTCATCGCCCTAGCCAGCCTCTCCTGGCTCCCCTCCCACACCCACAGCCCCCTGGTCCTGGAGCTGACCCCCACCTAGTCCTGGCTCCAGCTGGCCCCTGGGGGGCTGCAAGAGCTGGGCTGCTCCCCCAGGGCAGGCGGGGTGGGAGCCACGCTGAAGTGGTGCTGCAGTGGTGATGGTAGCAGCTTGCCTGCCTCGATGGCACGAGCTGGATTTGCCATGCCAGGGCTTGAAAGAGAACAGTTTAGGCAGCATCCCCTTTGTGGCTCGCTGCTTGCTAATCGAGCCTCATGGTGTTCTCATAGATCTTTGACAATAGCCTTTGTCTAATATGTTTTTAATCAGTGTGTGCATTTCAATTTGCATATTAATAGCAAGGAGATGTTATTATATGCTGCTGTTGATGAGATGGTTGTCATGCCTAGCCTTCCAGTCTGAGGAAAGAAAGAAGCTGTGTCTATTGTACAAAAGATGAAATTGCACACATTTTAGGATCTACTATTCTCTGCCTCTATCTTTATTTATATCTGCTTTTATTTTTTTCTTAATAGCTCACATGGGTTCTCTCTCTCTCTCTCTCAACAAGCGTAATTTAATAGGATTTTGTGTCTGTTGTGACAGGTCCAAGATAACCTAAATATCACATTTTTCTGGACATTTTTGACTTGTGAAATAGCAAAAGCTTGACCCAGTCTAGGAGCCTGTCTATTGCAGCTGACCACAGTAGCTTGTTTAAATGCCAGCAATGATCAATGGCACTGCTCATTCTTTGGGTTTCTGCATTTCACAGCTACCACAGGTGTAGGCTTTGAGCAGATGCCAGCTGCCTGGATGCAGTCTCAAAGCCATGGCTCACCCTCACCCCCTGCAGAGGCTGGAGCAGAGCAGAGCTGGAGCTGTGCGTGCTGCTCCCTAGCAGAGGTGCCAGGAGGAGCAAGAGGAGTGGGGGCTCGAGGAAAGGTGAAGAACAAGCCCCGAGTGCCAGTTCCTCATGCTGACTGTTTTCCAACTTCACACCACAGGATAAGCAATGCTTTTGTCTCAGGTTCTCCGACTGATGAGGAGGTGAATGTTCTAAAGTGTGGCTAGGTGATTTAGGAGCTGAGCTCCATCTGCCTGCAGTTCACATCCCCTGCTGTTAGCATTTAATCCCAAATCGTCCCCAAGGCTTCTCTCCAGATCCTGGCACTAGGAGAGTGTTTATCTTGTTTTCTTTCTGCTTTTCCCATCCCCTTTCTCTCCCGTGCTGTGTCAGATGCACAGACCTCTCTCTCACACAGCACAGACACAGGCTCTCTGTGGCTTTCAGATTTGGGAGGTGATTTTGTGTGTGCTGGTTCTGCTCTTCACCTTCCTTCCCTCGTGGATCAGCAGAAAAATGGCCTGAAGGCAAAAAGCCAAGAGTGAAAGGAGAGAGATGAAAAGAGAAACTAAAGAAATTGGAAACAGAAGAAAAAAATCTGGAGGAATAAACACATCCCCCTCCCAGCCTGACTCCTCTAATTGCTCTCGTAGCTCCCTGGCAGAGATGTGGGGTGGAGGAAAAGCAAACCTTTTTGGCCAGTGTGGGCTGGATGCCAGGGGCTCCTGCTGGTTCCTGCTGGGAGGAGAGTAGCAGCTTTAAGCCCAGTCCAGTTTTAGCATCACTAAATTTTAAACATGCTCTCCTAATCTGAGATCAAAGCACACCGTCAGCAAAGGGCATCTGGAGGGAGAACAGAGCTGTGTTTTTTGTCGTTTCTCCTCTGCCAACAAAGCTCTCCTTGCTGAGGAGCGCCCAGCAAGGGGGTGCTGGAGCTCAGCGCTGCGCTCCTGCAGCTGGAAATGGGTCCCTGCCCTCCCATGCCTAGCTCTGGAAGGAGCAGCCAGGAGAAGGCAGGGAAAGCCACTGCCAGCCTCAGGAGCATCCCCGTTTGCTGTGCAAAATGACAGCAGCAGGCGCATGACTGAAGAGCGGAATAGGCACTATTCATGTAAGCGCTGCATAAATATTGAGTGACAATATTTTGAAAGAGAACCCTCTCAGTGATCTGTGAGCAGGGAGGCAGTGCAGAATTAGGTGTTTTCAATCACACCGGCTCCACAAGAAAAGGAACCTGGCTGCTGATCTGAAATCAGCCTGCAGTTTCTGCAGCCTCCCACTGCAGGCTGTACGGGACAAAAGGAGCAATATGAGGTAGGAAAAAAAACCCTGCAAGCAATTGCTGTAGAGAAAGTGGCTGGAGTAATAAGACCAAGCAAAGGCGTGGGATGGATGTTTCACTCCAGAGCTTCAATCCATTTATATAATCATAGTTGTTATCATAGTAAATGTAAATAACTGAATGAGTTCAAATTTAGTATTTGACAACACTGACTCTTTCTGAGTACACACTGAATTCTTGTAGAAAGCCTTTATTTCATCAGACAGTCTAACAATATTTTAAACAATCCTTTAGGCACTTAGTTAGGACCATATTCTGTGATTTTTCTTGCTCTCTGAAGCATAAAGCCTCTTACAAGTTCATGTTTTAAGTGATTGCTTGAATCAAAATATGTGGCAGTTTGGCAGCTTGCCTTTTACTGCATTGCTATAGCCTGCAATAATAGCAATAATGGTATGATGAAAATACAAAAAAAAGCTGTTTTGCACCTTGTCAGCCAAAGGCAACAAATATCCAGGATAACCTTACTTTATTTTCTATTGGATGTGGTGGCCCTGAGCCCTCAGTGGCATCCAAGACAGGCGTCAGAGCCACAGTCTGTCCCACCACGCTAAGGAAGCATCCTTTTTAATTAGCGCTGCTGGCAGGCTCCTGTCCTTGAGGCAGAGCTGAGCACGGTGTCCTTCCTCACCGGTGTTCATCGCAGGTCTGGATCTCACGGGGGCTTTGCTCTCTGCACAGATTTCTGCTCCATTCCTTGATGAGTGCTGATTCCCCACCAGGCAGGGCCAGTGGCAATAGGGCAGAGCATGACAGACCCCACCGCGTCTGGCAGGTGCTGGGGGAGCTGCTGTTCCCTGTGCTGAAGCAACATCCCCATCCCTCAGCAGCCTTGAGGTGCTTTGCAGGTGGGCTGTGGTGGGAAAGTGCTGCTCTGTGAGGTGAGATCAGCACCCTGGGGCTGGAAGGAGGTTTTCAAAGGCCTGGAGACAAGTGGTATTCAGAAATAGATCAGAACGAGCACTTCCATCCAGAAAGGAAGCACTAGTAAAAAGGTGGTTCAAAATAGAATCTTCTGTGATGTCCCACTCGCACATATTTTTAACGAGACTAGTGCTGGTCTTAACAGGCAAATGACCTAAATTCAGCCACAGCTCTGTACTGTTGATTCAATAGCTTCTCTTAATGAGGAAATGATTATGTTCATTGGGAAATATGGGATGCAGCAGGTGCATGGTGTTAAATAATGAACAAGCAACCTGGCTAGTACCAGGAATGTGATGGTGCCTTGCTGGGGATGAGGGGACCTCGGATGGACCCTCTGCAAGGATGCTTCCTTTGTGTGTGGCCTTGCAGAACACGAAGGGATGCTTGTGCTACAGGGCGTTTTTATTCAGGCTGCCAGGTGGGGCTCTTGGTTTGTAAGGTGACACTCTACTTTCTTCCTTGCCCCTGCCCCTCAAAGCAGTTTGAGGCACAGACTGCACAGGCCTATGCTTTCTGCTGTTTCTGCGGGCTTAAGCAGTGTGCACCTTTCAAAGGCCTGGCCTGAGCCCAGCTTAGAACACACGTCTCTAAATCACCATGAGTCCTGGCACAACCGCTCCCCCCTACCCTGATGTGAGTCACTTCCAAATACACCTTTGGTTCATTAATGCAGTGATGCATTAAAATGAATCTCAGTAAAACGACAATGCTGATGACAACAATTCCCACCCTCCACCCACCGTCTGTCCCAAATCCTCAGGTTAATTTTTGCCTTGAATCTGGCAGATGGAAGCACCAATATTCTGCAAAATTGTGTCCAGATCCTGAGGGGACCTGGGCACCGCCAAACAACTTCTGTACCCTGAGACCATGGGCTCCTGCGGAGGGAGGCCACCTGGAAGAGACGAGCTGCGTTAGGCTGCAGTAGCTCAAGCAGGGCACAGCCTGTTGGTGCTCACCGTGCAGGCCTGCATCAAGCCCTAGGACTGCATCTCTGTTGGCGGTGCACCGACTTTGGGATCCATTGCCTGGAACAAGACCAAGCAGTAACTGGATGACCGTAAGGTTTTGCTCTAGCATTGATTGAATTAGATGGTGATTTGTGGTATGTTACTCCATGGAGCCAAGCAGGAAAAGGCAAAGGAGAATGGAGGACAAGTATGTGTGCTTTCTCAGCTGGCAAAAACTAAAGCAAAGCGGCTTGTAGAGGAGACCAAAACTGCCCCTGGGCTCAAACCTTACAAAACAGAACTAAAAAGCTAGATGACGTGCTCTTTTCTAGTGATTTTACTCAGTGGGCAGTGAAGCACAGTTGATAAGCAGGGCAGCGTAAATCAGCAAAGTGTCTGATACAGCCCAGCATGTACTGATGTGACCTGGAAAGCTCCGTAAGCCAAGCTATTAAATCATTTGCACAAGAAAAGCAGTCAAGCCCTGCTTTACCAGTAGGAACCAGCACTTTGGTAAAACTCATCTTTATTTTGAATGTTGTCCTCAACATTACATTGGTGGCCACTTAACAGTAAGTGCCTACAAGCTCTGAAAATAAGAAGGCAAAAATCAGACTTTCTGCTCTTTTGACCAAAGGCCTGTTGATTTCCTTCTACAAATTACCTGGCTTCAGCCTGTCCCCTGCCTTTCCTGGCCAGGACTCCTCGGATGGTTTGTAGGAGTGAGCTCTGGTGGTGTGCAGGCATCCACGCACATCTCGCTGCCTGCGTCCCCCCTGGACCAGCAGAGCCCTCCCCATGCCAGGCCCCATTCCTCACCGGCCCGGGCTCAGCTGGTGCCAGGAGAGGCACCAACAGGCGATCACCCATGCCTGTGGCACCGTGCTCGGCTGGGGAACAGGCAGCTGTGCCGAACGCCTGCTCCCTCCCGCTAATTAAAAACCCTGCGTGCACTTCTGCAGCAGGGATGCTCCCAAAGACCCAGCTGCCTTGCTAGCTCCAGGTCAGATCCGTCCATGCGCTCACACAAGCTCAACCAGTAGCCAGCTAAAAATGCCCCGGCGAGGGATGCGAACTGCCAGGGAGCCGCTGCTCAGCACAGCACGGCCATCAGCCTCCCGGGGCTGGGGGGAGCTGGCATCGCCCCAGCCCTGGTGGCACGGCAGCGCGGGTCGGTGCTGGTGGGGCAGGCACGGAGCTGCCTTTGAGATGCGGGTTTCTATTTGCAGATGCTTTCCAGCTACAATAATAGCAATAGTGACTGTGTTAGAGTTCTTGTTGACTTTCACCTCCATAATCAGCTCTGTGTAATTTAGGATTAATCGTAGCGGTGACGATCTAAGGATATAAGCAAATTAAGGTTTATAGCAAAATGCACTGCTTTTTTATTAGAGTATGCAATATAGTTAGAACCTGGACAAGCTTTAGGGTGCACAGATTCTTCTTTGGGTCTGAAATGGAAACAACGAGCTTTAAGCTAGACAGATACTGGAAAAAAATTCAGCTTCAGTTTAACATAATTACGGCAGCAAACTAGACAGGAGGAAAAAGGTAGTAAGCACCTGCAAAATTAGCTATTATAAACGTCATGTATTATTTCAAGTCTGGGATCTTTAAATAGTGTTAGAACCATCACCTAAATTTCCCAGCACTTGAAATAAATTTATTGTTTTGCAATGGACAAAAAAAATGGAATTGTCACTTGGCAGATGAGAATTACACACATTGTGGTTTGCATGTAGGGTGTTTTTGTACAATCCTCTCCATTGACATTCAGCGTGTTGTGTGTTTTGTACGTGGCAATGTCCAACCTGGTAATTTCTGTTCTGAGAACAGGATATTTGTGTATGTACCATTTCTGAAGTAAGCACAATCATAGAGAAGTATTTCAAAAGGAATGTTAAAAATAAATAATTTGAAATCTGTGAGATTGATGGATTTTTTTATATATTTTTTCTATTTTATTATTATTATTATTATTTTGAGGATGGGTTTCAGTTGCACCTATTTCCTGCCAGCTAAATGCTGTCCACCTTCAATGTCCTCGAAGTAGCGGGGTGCCTGTTTTCCTCACAGAGACCTTTGGCAGCCACCAGCTGTCCCCTCGCCCGCCTGCAAGCCTCTGGCATAATCTGCAAGGCAGGGACCTGCCTCCTGCAGGCAGAGCGGCCAAGGCTGCCTTTCCTTTCTTGTGGCAGAGCCATCATTCCCTGTGCTCAAAATAGACCCTCTGTATCACTTGGCTCTATCACAGCCGTGCAGGGAGCATCTGATGGGAGGCAGCAGCACTGCCCCGGGGTGTCCACTGGGGAGGATGGGGGTGACACGGGGGTGGTGGCAGGGCAGGGGACAGGGGGGACACGCAGGGAATGGCCAGTGCCAGCTGCAGCTGGCTGCCCCGGCTGGCTCCGGCCAGGTCACCCGGAGATGGGTTGTGCTCTTTGGCTGAGACACGTTCCCCTGGCACCCTCATACCCGGCTCCGCTCTGCATTCCCACCCACTCAGTGAGTGCTCCTTTTCTCCTGCCAGATTAGCAAAACAAAGCCTTCAAACCTCTCAACAATTAGATGCTAGCACAGGCCAAAAGAAAAGAAATTTGAAAAAGTATATTAATCTTTCAGCCCCAGTTCACCCGTTATTAACTGGACGCCCAGCACAGGCTCCAATACAACCTGTTCCTGCCAAAAGCATCTTTCTTTGGACCTGTTCACTCTGCTGGGGATTTAATATTCATGGGGCCCCTTTCACCATTTTAATGAACTCGGCAGCCATTCAGAGGGCCGGCAGATGACAGCACAGTAATTTAGTGTGCACTTTCCCACAGGGGCTGCCGGCCTTGAGGCACCCCTTTGAAGCACCACTCGAGGGGCCGTCACCGTGCACCCCTGAGCACTGCTGCTTTGTGCTACGCCACTGTCCGTGCAGCTGGGCAGCTGCTGCACCACGATCTAGCGAGTATCTGCTGTCCTCCCACACCCTGCTTTTGGGACTTTAGGGCTTTTTTAACCTCCAAAGACAAAGGTAGTTTTGTGGCAGCATCGCACATGGGAGCAGCTGAGGTCGGCAGTGTCAGAGAGTGGCTTTCAGTCGTGGCTGCAGCTGCAGCCTTGGCTCCTGCATGGGGAAAGAGGAGGAGCGGCTCTCGTCTGTTGCTCCAGGCAGAGGACGAGCAGCCCACACTGGCTGCCTGCACTGCCGTGGCTCCGGGGGGTGGCTGTGTCACCGGCCAGCCATGCAACCCCCTGTGCCTTGCTGCTGGGAGGGGAGGAGGAGGATTGAAGGGATAACAGGCAGTGCTCAGATCACCCCTCACCCTCCCGGTGCTGAAGGCACCATGGTGAAATCGCAGAGACAGCGCCCGGTCTGCCCAGCCCTGCCAGCCCTTCTTTGCCAGTGGCCTCAGCATATTCTTGGTGAGGAGTGAAGTAATATTTTAAATTCAAAGATGATGGCTTGTCCCATTTGTCTCTGCATAGCAATGCCAGGCTGTCAGACCCAGGAGGGTCATTTGGAGCGGCCTCAGAGAGCAGCATTTAGCAGCATTTTCTCTTGCAAGTCAATCTACAGATCCATTCCCCAGCCGGTGATCGTTTTCAGTAGCTGCTGTGATTTTAATATAAAGTACGAGTATTCCATTTAATTAAGCATGAAGCTAGAGAACATACACAACTTGCGGAGGGATGGCCCATGGCTCGCCTGCACCTCACCAGGTCACCGAGGTGCTGCTCTCCCAGCACCCAGCAGGCAGGGTTTTGGCCATGCCCTTTGTGCGGGCACCAACACGCACCAGGGGCTTTGGCAGCGCTGCCCCAGGAGCTGCGTCACTGTCACCGGGCACCTGCCCTGAGCACAGCAGGACGTGGAGCCCTGGGTTTTGCCAAGAGGTAGAGGTAACCCTGCAGCTTTGGCACACCAAGGCCAGCTGGGCTTTTCACGTCAAAACCACTTGGATGAGATTTTTTGCAAGGGTAGAAGAGGATAGCTAAAGCAACTCAGCATGAGCAGAGGCTCACTTATGGGTACTTGAGCTCTGGCACCACAGGAGCACAGGCCCTCCAGCAGCCCCTCCACGCCTGTGCAACGTTCTCAGCTGTCCAAAAATCTGCTGACCTTCCCTGGAAAGTGGAGGTGCTCACCCAACCTGCACATTGCCTGCCTCTCCATATGCTCTCAGACATGCTGGCTCCCATTTCTTTTATTTTCAGTGTTGTTTGATCAATTGCAATATCCGCTGCAGGGACTGTGCAGAGGAAATACAATTTTCCGCGGCATGCTTTCACATCTTTGCACCGTTTGCGCTGATACAAGGCAAGGTGTGATGGATCTCATCTCCCACCTACACCACTCCGGTTTTCAGCAAGGGCTTTGACACTTAGCAGCCCTAGAGCTGTTGCAGAGAAGGGACCAAGGCATATTAAGTCATTTGGCCTTTCAGGAAAGATTTATTCCTATGACAGAGTGCGGATGACGCACCTCTGTCTGTGTCACTAACGAGCCCTGTACTCTGTCCTGGCATTTCTGTGGGCTGAATGTGCTGTTATTTCTGAGGCTGCATCAGACAGTCAGCCTGGGCCATTAAATATCTCCTGGCTCTTTTCCTCCCAAACTTTATCTCATTTTTCTTGGCCAGGTAATTCATCCTGCAGTTTCAATTGGACAGCAAGTGTTTTTTCACTTAGTGTTTTTCCTTTCTCATTTCCTTATAGACCAGCAGTGGCCACACATCAGGAGCTGCTGCAAACCCTGGCGGACTGGGGATGTGACTGTGCAATGAAAGGCCCTGTGGAAATCCAGAGTATTTTGGCAGTGCTTTCACACACACCACATGGGCACTGGAGGTCATGGTCCTGCAGCTTCTGCACTGAATAGCACCATGCAGGGCGGTGATGAACAGGACTGGCTATGGAGAAAAGCTTTTTGCTTGAAAAGATGCAGAATTGTTTCACTTGCTGCTGTCCTGCCATCTTGCTCAGTCATTAACCTCGTCCTGATGAGGGATCGCTGTGCTTGTGAGCGCAGCTGGCCCCAGCCGCGTCAGGCTCATTAGCACCAAGGGTGCCATAAAGGTGCTGAGCCCGCAGGTTGCCCTCAAGGCTGGCAGGCAGGGCTCTGGCTGGCAGTATGGGGTCTGTAGGGAAGGGGCCCTGGCTGTGGGGCTGCTTTGAAGGGGTCTGGGGTTGGAGGTGATGGGCTATGGGCACAGTCCCGGTGCCAACCGCACGCAGTAGGGCCTTGGCCAGGGCTCTGTAGCCCCCTGGGAGCAGGGGATGGGCTGTGCCTTGTTGGGGGGTCAGCAGGACAAGAGGGCCTCTGGGCACTGCACTTGGCGAGCTGGCCTGGCAGTCCCAAGGCTTTGTTAGCAAGCCAGCAGCACAGACCTTCATCCCGAGACCTGCAGTCACTCTGCACTCAATACAAACCATGCTCTAAATAGTCCATGAAGCTGCTCCCAGGTCTGTGCACTAAACGTGAGGTGCTGCAGCCAAACGCTGTTAGGGCTGGAAACAGTGAGTGACCCAGACCTGAGCGATTTGGGCCGCTCAGTGACTGCCTGGCTGGGAGCATTAATGGGGCTGGCGAGGGGCTCCTTGGGCTGAGAGGAGCCAGAAACCTGCTGGGGATTGTGGAGGAAGCAAAAGCCTGCAGGTCCTGAGCAGATACCAGTGTGAAGTCTGTGACTGCACTGGAACAAATGAGGCCTTGTGAGTAACTGGTATTATTATTATTATTTTATTGTTGCTGTTTTTCTTATAGTTCTAATGTCCACAAACATCTTGTGCTTGAGCTGTTTTGCCTCGTAATTTCTTAGCAATGTTTGCTCTTCCTTTTATTTGGGGACTTGCTGCACTAAAGGTGAAGTAATTTGTGCTATGTTCAGTTAGGATTGTTAGTGAGGACAGAATGTTCTTTTATCCATCAGCACAAGAGAATTTTCTCTAGCAGATGCTTTTGGCTGTCTTTTTTTTTTTTTTTTTTTTTTTTTTTTTGTGTGTGGCAAACACTATTAAAACTGAGGCATCCTTGTATTAGCGTGGACAAGGGCATCCTGTGCCATTGAAGCTGTGGGCTCTTGGCATGCAGTACTGTTTGTAGTAGGGTCTGGAAGCTCTACACTGCTCAGGGAGAGGCAGCCCTGAGCACGTGAGATGGGCACCAGGGATGTGCTGAGTACAGTACCAGTGCAGCACCAGGGAAGTGCCCAGGAGCAAACCCTGCCCCAGCACAGGGGAGAACCTGCAGGGAGCAGTGGCTGTGTGGCACAGCTGGAATGCTGTGGAAGTGTGCAAAATGTGGCCAGAGTCATTGCACAGAATAAACCACCTAGACATGTGCTTTCCAAGCCGTGAACCTGCTCAAGTTTTTGCCTTAACACTGCAAAAACTATTTTGCATGTTCAACATTGCTGTAACAGTTGCGACAATGTTTACAATCGTGATCAGTCAAAATCTCTGCCAGAAATATTTTAAGTGACAGTTTTATAAAATCAGTTTCTGCTTTCATGAGAAAACCCCAGGGTTCACTAGGGACTCCTGCAATGGTCATAGCTGTGAGGAGAAATGCTCATTAACTTGCTCATCTCCCCCGAGCGTGCACAACAGATTGTCTTCCAGGCACTAAGCTGGCACTGGCAATTCTGCTGGGCTTGTGCTGGAAAGACAGAATAAACCTGGAAAAGACAGAATAAAACCAGGAAACCCCTGTATGGAACATTTATTAATTTGTCTGTCTCCACCACCAGTAAATGCACTGCAGAACTTCTGACAGAAACTGTGGCTCAGTTAGGAGGGTACAGCTGAGAGCACCATGAATTAAAATTGAGGATGAATTACAGATGGCTAGGGAAATCCTAACACAAGTAGAGGCAGGAGACCTGATTACTTCCCACTTCTCCCAGCTCATGCAGGTTAGTCTGTTCTGAGTGCCTCC